GACTTGTGTCAACTTGTCATAAAGCCAGCCAGGACAGGTAAACACTTCTCTGTGGTGATGTAATGGCTCAGGAGTGTTGACTGGGGGGTCTTGGCAATAGTCGCTATAAAATGACAGGGTTATTGTGATATGAAATGGCTCTTGTGACATTTGATCTGAAAAGTCACTTAAGTTTTGGGGTAATGCAGTGGTATAGAATTTGGCAAGAGGATCTCTCGAGGAACATTTCAGAGACAAAGATGTTGGGGCCCCACCTTACAGGTTAGTATCTGTAGAAACTGCCTCTTGTAATCCTTGCCCACTCCCAAATCTGCTTCCAAGATCCTTTGCAGCCCTAGAGACTACAGACTATGGCTTGATAGCTGCTATATCTGTACCTTCAAAGTCTTTATTTCTCTTGGGTTTTGTTGTCTGAGTTTCTGTCCTGCCTGGTTCCCACAGTCTTTAGGTCCCAAAGAATCACACAGAAGTCTACAAAAGTTATAAACTGATTGGCCCATTACCTTAGGCTTCTGATTATCTCTTATAACTTATATTAACCCACTATTCTTATCTATGTAAGCCACATGGCTCAGTACCCTTTTCAGTGGGGTTGATCACATCTTCCTTCTCCTGTGTCAGGGCAGGACTGCAGAGGGAGCTTCCTGCTTCCCAGGATTCTCCTATTGTCCTGCCTCTACTTCTGTCTTGTTGTCCTGCCTATACTTCCTGCCTGGCTACTGGCCAATCAGCATTTATTTAAAACATAATTGACACAATACAGAATTGTTCCACACCACTAACTGTTGCATGGAGCATGGGCCCTTTGCTTGGTCCTGGCTGCCCAGCTATCTTACACCTGAAATAATCACTCAGAAACTGTACTCATTTAAACACTGCCTGGCCCATTAGCTCTAACTTATTATTGGCTAATTCTTATATCTTAATTTAACCCATTTTTTCTTATCCTGTGTATAGCCACGTGACTGTGGCTTACCGGTAAGATTTTTACCAGTGTCCTTCTCAGGCAGGAGATACATGGCATCTCTCACTCTGCCCTTCCCAGCATTCAGTTCCGTCTACTCTGTCTACTTAAGTTCTGCCCTATCAGACCCAAAGCAGTTTCTCTATTCATTAGCCAATGAAAACAACACATAAACAGAAGGAACTCCTATACCAGGGTTTCTATAATTTATATTCATAACTTCTGAAGGTGGCTGGTCCCAGGCAGGGAGCCACGTGGCAGTGGGAGAAAGACAGAGACATGGATAGGCACACCATGCAGGGTGAGGTTTTATATTTATTTAGTGGGTTATGGAAGGGAAGGGGAGAAGAGCAGAGAGGCAGAGAGAGAGAGAGAGAGAGAGAGAGAGAGAGAGAGAGAGAGGAGAGAAACAGAAGGGGAAGGAGAGGATGGAAAGAGGCAGAAGCTGCCTCTTTGGGAGAGAGATGGCAAAGAGGAAGAAACTCAGGCTGGAAGATGAAGATCATCTTGCCTTGGCAGATGGGGGAGGGAGTGGGTATGGCTTGTCTCTTAAAGGAACAGGACAGATCATTACACTCCCATCTCTTTTTTATAATAAAAAGGTGGAAGGTTAGGCACCACAGGTTAAAGGAATTGGGGCAGAGGATTCTCAAGTCCACTTCCTGCTTATTTGTGGGTGTTGTCTTTGTGGAGAACCTGAAAAGACTGGGTGCTGGTCACATCCTGGCATAGCTGGTCTCTTTGTTCCTGTCCAGTGTTTGTGGTATGGAAACACCTGGTATCTCTTACACCTGTTTAAGGTATTGGCAAAACAGAGAACAAAGTTAAGTTAATGAAAAAATTTTTAGGACCAGGGAATTGAGGGAGTGTATCTGACCTGTTTAAGGTGGATCCTTCAATTTGGATCCCTGAAACTCACAAGAATTCTTTGAGTTTGTGAAAACAGAAGTTTTAGACATATACATTGTATAAACAGTAGCATATTTATGTCAGGATGACTGTGAAAGATATTTTTGTACAATGAAAAGTATTTTTAAGACTATGGAAGGCAGCATGAGAGAGAAGTTTGATAACTTGTATTTGTCCTCACACCTTTATAACTTGCAGGTCTTGTATTTGTATTTTACTGAAATTTGTTTGGTGAGGTTGTCCTTTTAAACTGACAAAACCTCTCAGCTGTCAAACTGCATCAGAAATCTTTGAGAAGGATAAAATTTTACTTGAGTTATTGATTTAAGAAGAACAGAGAACTTACTTGGTTGGCACCCAGAGCTACTCCTCAGGTCCTCTATGGTCACTGAAGGTTGTATTTGTTTTCTGTTGTTTAGCGCAGGGCCTACTAGGCTCCAGAAGATCCTGTGGGCTGAGAAATCTGTAGGAAGACAAGCCTACCTTGACCTGAGCAGCTAGGCTGTCGATTCCAGCGATTCTGTCAAAATCTGGAGATCTTCAGTTTAGATGAAAGGCAGTTTTTCCCAGGGGTCAGTGCTTGGCAGTTGAAGCGAATTGTAGATGGATGTTCTGTGCTCATTTGTCTTCTGTCTTCTTTGGAGGAAGTAGAGTGCCGCTAGGAGCCAAACTGTCTTTTTGTTATGAAGAGTTTTTTTTTAATAATTAAATATTTAAATGCCATATTCCCCAGATCCCTGAGCAGTTGAGGACTGTTTATCAGGTACAGCTACAGTATAGAATCTGCCTGGGGAGCTGGATCCAAGCTTGACTGTACTGGCTCTCAATTTAGCAGGTAAGATTTACACTCAAAAAAGACAGAAAGAAAAAAAGACTGCTTGCAATAGAAGGTTAATGGCAGAACCGACAATAGCAGAGAACATCCACATATATTTTAGTTGAGGGTTGGATTAAATATAAAGTATTTTTGTAAGAGACTTAAAAGTACATACCAGTTTAAAACATGAGACTTATTGTTTTTGTAGTCTGAAATGAGATGCAATGAACAGACAATTATAAAAAAGGATTTTCAACAATACCACATCAGACAGAAGATTGATCTGCAAAATGAACAAAGAACTCAAGAAACTTTATATCAAAAGAACAAATAATCCCATAAAAATGGGGTACAAACCTAAACAGAGAACTTTCAACAGAGGAATCTAAAATGGCTGAAAGAAACTCTCGACATCCTTAGCCATCAGAGAAATGCAAATCAAAACAACTCTGAGATTCCATCTTACACCTGTTGGAATAGCCAAGATCAAAAACACCGATGACAACTTATGGTAGAGAGGATGTGGGGAAAAGGGAACACTTCTGCGTTTGGTGGGAGTGCAAAGTTGTAAGCTGTTTTGGAAATCAGTGTAGTAATTTCTCAGAAAACTAGGAAACAACCTACCTTAAGACCCAGCAATACCATTTGTGGGTTTATACCCCAAGGATACTCAATTACACAACAAGGACATGTGTTCAAGTACATTCATAGCAGCATTATTTGTCAGAGCCAGAGCCTGGAAACAACCTGAGTGCTCTTCAGCTGAAGAATGGATAGGGAAAATGTGGTCCATTTACACAATGGAGTACCACACAGCAGGAAAAAATAATGACATTTTGAAATTTGCAGGCAAATGGATGGATCTAGAAAACATCATATTGAGTGAGGTAACCCAGAGTCAGAAAGACAAATAAAATAGGTACTCACTAATAAGTGGCATTTAATAATAAAGCAAAGAAAAACCAGTCTACAATTCACAATCTCAGAGAACCTAGACAACAAAGAGAACCCTAAGAGAGACACTCTCACACTGAGCCTGAGGAGTAAACCAGGACTTTCTGATGACCTAGGATGTCTGATCCTCCAGCCCCAGGGATGCCCTGCCTCCCCCTCTCACTATCAGGCTCTTTCCCTGGTGCTGGGATATGAATTCGGGTCCTCATGCTTACAGAGACAGGCCATTGTCCAGCCCGTACTTTCTCTGTATGCATCTTGTACTCCAATGAAAGTTAACTTTTTCAAAAAACTTGTACAGTTCTTATTCTTTGAGAATTTTGAAAACTTCATAGAAACAATGTATTTTAATCACACTCACCACTGCTACTTTACAGAAGAATTTTCCTCCAAATCCCCCTCCCAACAACTTCTCCCTGTTCTCTTTTGGCTTCCTTTGCTTCCCCTCCCCACCTATTCCCCTTCCCTCCCTCCTTTCCCTTCCTCTCCCTCCCCTTCTTCAATAACCCACTGAGTCCAGTCACTGCTGCCCATGAAGACATATGATTAGAACATTTCTCTGGATAGTCGACACACCAAGGACGCACTCCTGAAGAAAACCGACTCTCCCTCTCCTGGCAGTCCTCACCTGTCTGCAGCTCCTCAGAACAGGGGGAGGGCTCGTGTGACCCTCCCCATTCATGCTAGAATGTTAAAAAGACAGAGTATGAAGCTGACTTACTTTTCAACATTAACTCTCTGGTCCGTGAAGTGTCCTACACTGCACACTGCACCATTTGACTGCAGGTTAACAGTCTGCACTTAGTCCCCCCTCCCCTCTTTTTATTCTTTAGGGATAGAGTTCGATATTTAGCTCAGGTACCCATAGCCCAAATTCTCCTTCCTAAGTTTCTCTGTTATAGGGCTTACAATTGAGAACAGCGAATTTTTTTTTATCAATTTGTCTTTTCTGAAACAAAATGAAGCTATAAATCAATTTATATTAACAACGTGGACATTTAAGAAGCCATACCCTCGGCTGTCTTGATCCCCTTGTTTGTCCTTTGTTGTGTTAAGCATATACTCACCTTCTGTTTATTACTTCCACCGCCAATCTACTAAAAAAAGAAAGAAAAAATACAGAGACACAGACAGAAAGACGCCTTTGCTTTCCTTTTTTCTCTTCTGGGGCCTGGATCCCCAACATCCAGTTGATGTGGTCCTGACTTAGGGCTCAGTGCAGCCTGGAGGCTTCAGGACAACGTAGTACACGAGAATCTCGATTTACCACTAGGTGGCGCTAGCTCCACTCCTCTCTTCTGGCTCCGCCCAGGCTCACTTTCTTTCCCTGAAGTTCCTGATGCAGGCAGAGTCTGAGGACAAGCTGAGCAGCAGCCTGGGTCTCTCTTCTTCCCCTGCATCTGACAGCAGTGAGTGTGGGCAACAGAAATGGCTTTCTTATAGTATAATTAGCATCACACACCTCACCGACTTACAGTGCACAGTTGTGTGGCTATTCAGAGGTGTGCAAGCACATTTCCATAATCTTCTCTGCTTATTTAATCCAGAGATGCTTTCCCACAGCTTTTCTAGGTATTTTTAATGTGTGTGGAGGTGGAGAGTTAAGGGCGCCGGGAAGAGGGGAGAGGACTAGGGGCAGGTTCAATGTGTGTGGAGATCACAGGATAACTTTTGAGAGTCAGTTTTTTCTTTCAACTAGTTGAGGTGATCTCTCCTGCACTTTGTTCCATGCTGAGAACTCCAGGGTAGCTGGCCCCTCAGCTTCCAGGAGACCTCCTGTGCTCTGATTATAAAGGTATTCTTCTTTTGATGGTGTTCTTTGATTTACTCAGATCACCAATCTTGTGCTTCCAGCACATTTACCTGCAGAGACCTCTTGCTGGACCCGGGACGGTTTTCAGAGCCCTTTTCTTGGTATGTGGTTCAGAGGATCAAATCCAGAGCCTTGCATATGCTAGGCAAGTGGTCTTCCAGCCCAGTGTATTTTAAATATAAAAGCATTTCATCTACAAATAGGGTAATTTGACTTCTTCCTTACCTGTTTGTAACTCTCTTTTTCTTCTCTCAATTTATTTCTCTGAAGATCCAAGCTCTGTATTAAATAATAGTTGAGAAATGGTCACTCCTGGGTCTATACTGCATTTACAGAAACTGATTCAAGTTGTTCCCTATGCAGTATATTGCTGTTGGTAGGATTATCACAGTGCCCTTTCTTGTGTGTAGGTGTAAGTTTTCTCTTGCTGGTTTGTTCAGGGGTGTAATCAAGAATGAGTTCAGTTTCTTAAGGACTTCCCCCATCTGTTGAGATTATGATATCATACTTATCCCTGATCATGTTATGTGCTGAATTTCTTTTACTAATTTGCATATGCTGGACCGTGCTTGCAAAAAACACAGTGTTCGTTCATCATGTGTTTCTGTGCTCTCTCTTGCTGCTGACTTTTTCTACAATTCTATTATGATCTGATAGGATATAAGAAATTACCTTTTCGATTTGTTAAAAGTTTGTGATGGAGTGTTCCAGTTATTTACATGTAGTTATTTTTATTTTTTTCTAACTCTGGCTGGTTATCTGCTTTGTCAGGTAGGAGTACAGCTTTCTTGTCTGCTTGTTTAAAATGCTGTTTTCCATCCTTTCACTTTCAGTCTTCATATGCATGGCCAGCTAGTTGAGTTCCTGCTGCAAGAAACAATTGGTTATTGTTTTCTGCTTTGCAATTCAGCCTGCCAGTTGAGACTATTTATATTAAGGTTACTGTTAAAATGTTTGTACTGGCTGGGCAGTGGTGGTACACGACTTTTATCCCAGCACTCAGGAGACAGAGCCAGGTGGATCTATGTGAGTTCGAGGCCAGCCTAATTTACAAGAGCTAATTTTAGGACAGGCACCAAAGCTACAGAGAAACCCTGTCTCAAAAAGCTAAAAAAAAAAAAAAAGTTTGTACTGAATGAAATCCTATAATTTGGTGGGTTCTTTTCACCTTCTGATTTTCTGATTTGGTTTCAATTGCTATGTGATATTTTCTTTCTCATCTTAGATGTTTGCTGGCTCGCTGGCACTTTGCTTTCGATTGTGTGATAAAACACCACGATCAAAAGATACTGGGGGAGCAAAAGGTTTATTTGGCTTACACCTCCACATCACAACCCACCACTGAAAGAAGCCAAGGCAAAAACTCAGGCAAGAACTGAATCAGAGACCTTGGAGAAATAATGGCTTACTAGTTGCTTCTCATGGCTTGCTCTGCCTGCTTTCTTAAGTATCCTAGGACCCCAAAGTGGACTGGGCCCTCCCACATCAATCATCAATCAAGAAAATGCCCCACAGGCTTCTCAATCTGATACACCTGAAGATTCTTCTTCCCAGATGACTTCAGTGTGTGTCAAGCTGACAAAAGCTAACTAGCACACGTTCTGAGTTACTGCTGTTGATTCCTTAGAACTACAGGAGTTATTTTCTCCTGAGCTCTTGTGATCCTAGCTTTCTGTCTCCTTTATGTTTTTATTTTCTTGTGAGTGTCTTCTTCACTGCTCTGTGGTCATGCATTGCTTTAGCTGTGTTCATCTTGAAGGTGTTTATAAAGGACAAATTTGCATGTACTCACATTGGTTGTCAGTTATTTTCTTTGAGGACTCAAAATACATAGTTGCATACTCTGGCCTTTAGCCTTTCTGTCAAGGAACAAGCTGTTTTTCTGATTGGTTTTCCATTCAGGTCCATGTTAATAACTTGGATCATCTCTGTAATCATTTCCAGCATTCTTTTCTTGTTCTGTCCTTTCTGAATTTTACCAGCGGTGTGATATAACAAGATTATTTTCTGGTCCTATCTATGTGGTAGTCTAAATTACTTCTGTACCCGGATGTCCTTATTGCTCAATAGATACAGGGTAGTTTAGGATATTGCTTGAAGGAATAGGTTTTCTTTTTCTTTAGTCTCTATTTCAGCATTCTGTTCAAATAAGATATTCCTATTTGGTCTGTCATGTCCTGGGGGTCATCATAAATTTTCTTTATTCCTTTCAAATAAAGAGGAATGCAATAACTCATTAACCTGTATTTGAAGTCCTGGTAATTTTATCTTTCAGTTAATTTAGTCTGTGGGTGGTGGTTTCTCCTGAATTTTTGAAAGTTTATCTGCAAACTTTTCCAATGTAGTAATATGAGCGGCGGGGCTGCATCCCCTGCACCCGGCCGCCCCCACGGCTAGCTTTACCCGAAATAATTACACAGACCCTGTATTCTTTTAAACATTGCTTGGCTCATTTCTATCTAGCCTCTTTTAGGCTAATTCTCACATATTAATTTAGCCCATTTCTAATCATCTATGTAGCACCGGTCTTACCGGGAAGATTCTAACCTACGTCCATCCTGGGTCGGAGCTTCATCGCGTGCATCTTCCCGGGAGCGGGGAGCATGGTGTCTCTCTGAGGCATCTGTCCCCGAGAGGAGAGCTGTCGAGTCTGAGCTCACTTCCTCTTCCTCCCACCGTTCTGTTCTGTTTACTCCTCCCACCTATCTTCTAACCAATGAGGGCCAAGCAGTTTCCTTTTATTTAACCAATGACCTTCCTCCATTATTCCAACATTTACATTTTTAAAATTTCTCTGTTTATTGCACATATCCTATATTGTTTTGCTTATTTCCTTCAGCTGTCTATCTTTTTGAAGTTGCAATTCTTTGTAACTAAACCTCCTGAATATTTTCTTCAATTAAATACTTTTGGATTCAGTTGCTGACAAGTTATGATCTTATTAGAAAGTTTTGTTTCCTACATTCTTGTGTTTTATTGTTGTGGTTTGTGCACCTGTGGGAGAGAATATGGTTTGCACACTGATGTGAGGATTTGTACAGTAAGCTTCCTTCTACAGAGATCACTGGTCAGAGTGCAGAATCAACCACAGTAACAACACCAGAGCCAACTCCCCACAATAATCATAATGGGGCTAATGAAATAATGGATAGGAGGTGGTGTCACACCTCCTTTAATTCCAGCACTTGGGAGGCAGAGGGAGGGGGAATCTCTGAGTTTGAGGTCAACCTGGTCTACAGAGTGAGTTCAAGGACATCCAGTGCTACAGAGAGAAATCCTGTCTCAAATAAACAACAACTAAAATGTATAGGAAGTAAAGTTAGGAAAAAGAAAAGGAAATTAAGAGAAAAGAGCAAGACCTTAAAATCAGTGTAGAAACAAAATACTATTCACACTAAAGACTTCCTGTCTTTGTATAGTCTTCTCCACGGCTAGTGCCAGGGGTTTTGTGGCCTGTAGTCCAGGTAGGCACTTCTGTTGTGGGTTTGTCTAAATGAAGCAGTGTCTCCTGGATGCTTTGGAGAAGTGGGGATGGCAAACAGAGCATGGAGTTCTACAATGGAGAGAAATTCTGGGATCTGAGCTCTTTGCCTAAGCATTTTCATATCCTGTCTAGCCACAAACCACCATGCAATAAGGAAGAAGCTGTGGAAATTGTGTAATCATTTTACTTGTGTTCACAGTTCTCAACCCCTGTCTGCTGCACACAAATTGCACCATGAGTCAGTTTCAGAAACCAAAGAGTCTGCCAGCCACCTGCTCAGAACTCTTGGGCTCAGCAGTCATCCAGAGGATCCATGTCATTCTGGTTACAGGAGGCAGGGCTGCCTGTCCTCATGCCTCCACAGCCTGAACTAGGAGTGTGTCTCAGTCACTCCCTCCTGCGCTACTGTTCCTCATGGCTGCCTACCCACCAGGGCATCCAGGGCACGATGACATGTGCTAGATGGTTTTGGACCCCACCACAGCTCAAACTCAGAGAATAAAAGCTCTGGATTCTAGCACTATGAGAGATAGAGTGTGGAGAGCTTGGGCTGTGCCCCTCTGTGTTCCTTTCTATTACATAGGACAGGGGTTTTCAGAGTGGCCCTTACCCCGAGTGACTCCATTTATATAGAAGTGATTTGTTTAATTTTGAAAGCAAATACTGAGGCAAAATGGCTCTGTATCTTATGTATGTAAGTGTCCATCACAGGTAGTAAGACATAGATTGACAAATAACTCATTAATGCAAACCATACAAACAAATTATTCCTACCTGGTTGCCATGCAGGAGGAGACAGTGTCAGGTTAAATATCTGCAGTGGAACAGTCCATTTCTACACTATGATTGGTTACTCTCATTGGTTAATAAAAATCTGACAGGCCAGTAGTTGGGCAGGAAGTTATGCCAGAAAGTCAAACTGAGAATGATGGGAAGAAGGAAGGAAGAGTCAGGAGAGAATCCAGTCAGCTGGCAAGCAAGCAGGATGTGAAAAAAATGAGGTAACAAGTCATGAGCCTCATGGCAAAGCATAAATAGAAATATGGGTTAATTTAAGTGAAAGAGTTAGCTAGTAACAAGCCTGAACTATCAACTGAGCAATTATAATTCATATTCAGCCTCTGAGTCAGTTATTTGGGACTGGGCAGTGGGGACAGGAAGTGTCCGTTTACAAATACCCATGCTGGAGTGTAACATGAAGGCCTGCTTCTTGGGGTTTCTGTTCTGCCCTGTTCCCACAGCTGGGAAGCCTCAAATAAAATCACACAGAGAATCTACATTAGGTTATAAATTGATTGGCCCATTAGCTCAGGCTTCTTATTAGCTCTTGTAGCTTATATTAACCCATTATTCTTATCTATGTTAGCCATATGACTCAGTACCTTTCTCAGTGGGGTAGCTCACATTCTGCTTCTTCAGTGATCTGGACAGGACTGGGAGGAATGGGCTTCCTCCTTCCCAGAATTTTTCTGTTCTCCTCGCCCCACCTCTACTTCCTTCTGGTTGACCCGCCTATACTTCCTGCCTGGCCAATCAGTGTTTATTTAAAACATGATTGACAGAATACAGACAATTCTCCTGCACCACTCCCCCACCATCCATAGTCCATTTTGGGGAATGTGGGCATAGTATTCCAGGGTACTTCCTGCTGGTTACGGGTGCTGTTAATCTTATGGGGACCTAAAGAAAATTTAGAGTTATGATCAAGTCTTGACTGGAGTATCCCGTGAGTCTGGATTATCTCAGGCAGCAATGTTGAACCTGTTTTGGATGAAGAACTTAGACATCTGGGTCATCTGTTCCTGCCAGAGATTTTTCAGGTTGTCTTCCTTGATCAAACCTGATTTTTCTTAACTCTGAATAAATCCGGAGCCTCTCATTTTCTTCTCCAAGGCAACATACCTTTTGACTTCAGTTTTGAAGTCAAGGTATTTTCAAAATACCTATCTTGGATTAATTCAGCAGCATTTATAAGCAAAAATCGTTTAGCAGCTGTTGCTCCTTTCTCAGCATTCAAAAAATTCAAAGAGAGAATAATAACATACAGTATCAAGATTCTCTGTGTATTTTTCATCTTTACATGGCTTTATTTTATCCTCTATTTCTTTTATTTTTACTTGTAACTTTTGAGACAGGTTCTCTGTGTGTCTTTGTCCTGTAACTCCCTCTGTAAACCAGGCTATCTTTGAACTCACAGTGATCCACTTGCCTCTGCCTCCCAAGCTTTGGGATTAAAGGTATGTGTTACCACACCTTAACTCACAGAGATCTGTTTGCTCTGCCTCCCAGGCATTGGGATTAAAAGTGTGTTCTACCATACCTTGAAGTCACAGAGATCAATCTACCTCTTTCTCACAAGTGTTGAGATTAAAGGTGTGTGCCATACCCAACTACTCTCTTTCTTTCTTTTTTATTTTAAGGACTTTAACCTTTGTTCAAGCCTGCATATATTTTTTAACACACTGTAAACCATTTAGAGGTTTTTTCTTTGAATCTCTCTTTACTGTATAACTCTCTTTTACTGACTACATGAGTCTTTAAGGAAAGGACTAAAGCCGTGGCTTTGACGGCTGGATCCCGCCCATTCCTTAGCTTTCTGCGATTCTAGCCTCATGGTGGAGATACCAGCTGTAGCCATGTTTATTGCCATAACTCTATGGCGTTTCAAGGTCCCTGCCAGTGAACAAGATGCAGCAGTGTGCTCACAAACCACACTCAATAGCTCCATAGTTGGACTGCCTGCCTGAAAGAGTCAGAGTTTCCACTGGTAGGATGGCCCAGAAAGCCAGCATTTTAAAACAGCACAGCTTTTTTCCTGCTATGGCTGAAAACCAAAAGGCATTCAGTCAGCTTTTCATCAACACTATGTAAGTGTTTCATGGCAGGACTTCTTAAAAGAGCTGCAAGGTTTTGCAGCTAAAGCTGAGTCAGGAAGCCTTTCTTAGATGAGAGCACTTGCTTCCCTCTAGCAAGAAGAGCAGACTTGAGAAATTGCTGCTACCATGAAAACATGCTTTACTCTATTCTTTTCTGTCTAGAATTACTTCCCAAGCTCTGTCAGGCTTAATGTGGATACAATCGTCCACATGTTGGTGCCATTCTGTAACACTGGAGTTAAGGTTTGGAAGAGCAATAGCTTCCTCCTGCCACCCTGTCATCACCTGGGCATCCTGTTTCACCTTGGAGTTGCTGCCTGGCCTCACACATGCTGAATGTGCACTGATCTGTGCTCTCAGGCCCAGGCCCATGTTTCTCCATGTGATGTTGTCATCTTCATTTTCTCCCATCACAGGTGTTCTTTTATAGAATTTCAACCCCTTTCATCAATTCCTGCAGATTCTCCTTTGTACCTCTCTTTCTTTCCATATGATAATTCTCATTCATAATGGGTTTTATTCCAGTATCAGTCATGGGCTTCTCTAGTTCTCCTTATTAATTTATTAGTGTTTAAATGCTTGCTAAATGCCTTTCGCGAAATCTTAATTATGATGGTTTTTAAAATAGATTTTGCATCTTGTGAAAAGAGATCTGTAATTCCTTTCTTTCTGTCTTTGAATGTAGCAATCAATTGTCATATTATTAATGATTGCTAATTGCAGTCTGGAATACTTGGGACCCTCCCTCTAAGTTCTCACTTTAGGAATCTTTAGTCTTGTTTACCCCATGCCTAGAAATTTGCAACTCAAATTATGGATAACAGTTTTTGAACAAGAGAGGTTTAACATTCTTCAATCAAAATTTGAGCAGAGCACACTGATGTGGTAGAGCCTTAGCCCCATCGTTTGGTTTGTTTTAAATCCCAAAGCCTCAGCCTTCTGGATCTCAAGGCACAGGGTTTAGAGGATGCTTTTGTTCTGAAGCTCCACATTTGCTTGGTGACAGACTGCTAATAATTATCCTCAAGAATAACAGAGCACCTGACAGATGTATTTAGCAGGTTTTGTTTTTTTGCCTTTTCTGAAGTTGGCCCTCTACTTGGAGGTTTTGATATGCTGATGGCAGGAGGGAAGGCAGGAGGGACTGGGTTTGCTTCAGTGCTGCTGTCCCTTAACCCTGGCTGGTTTGGATGTCATCAGAGCTCTTCACACAGCTGCTCTCACTCTACTTTAAGGATGCTCCTGGAGGAGGCTTGCCTGTGCCACTGGTCCCTCACAGGCAGGAGCACACCACTCAAGACAGCAGATATTAGAAAGGAAAACTGACTGTGTTGAAGATGATATTTTAAACTTTTTCACTAGCTCAGTTCACTAAAGGTCTTACTTTAAAGCAGACAATAAATTGTGAAATTGGATATTTAAATTTTATTTGTATTCTTTTTCTTTGGAAGTCTTAAGCTGCTTAGCTACTATTTTGGTGTTCCTAATCCCTATCATTTTAAAATCTAAGTCTTCCTTAGAATTTAAACCCATTATAGCAATGATGATGTCATCACCAGTGGTTCATCTTCTTGGCTGTCTGAAGATGCCTGATGACCAGAGGTGCAATCTGAAGCTGGAAATAGTCAGAAATGTCTCCTGTTCGCTGTGGAGGTCCAACTTGTTATTATGTTACACCTCATAATGCAACACACACACACACACACACACACACACACACACACACATGCACACATAGGACATGTGGTAGTGGTGGTCATGTATTCTCCATCTGAACTTATATTAATAATAATATGCTTTTGAAGTAAGACAAATCTCCCCCCCATCTTTTCCTGCCTTCCTTTATTAATTGTGTATAGCATTTATACTCTACTCATTAGGTCTCATTTGTTTCTTAGGAATTTGGTGTCTAAGGGGAGTCTGTACTCAGTTATGTCTGCTTCTCATCGGGTCCTTAGAGAATCACAGTGACATGTACTGTTCATCAGGAAGGAATCTGTCTTTGACTGCACAGTTTCAAACAATCAAACAATCCCTAAGTGTGCTGTTCTGTATAATATTGTTGTTTTCATGGACCATCAACTTACTGTTGCCTTTCCTTCTACAGGAAGGAAGACATCTCAATATGTCTTCCGATAATGACCCTGTTGCAATCCCAATGATAGAAAGAAATCCTAATGATCTTCTTGGAATAGACACCAGTGACCTGAAGACATTGAATGGAGAGGCTGTGTTAAGTTTTTATAACATCAGCTACCAAGAAACAGTGCATAGTGACTTTCCATTTTGTAAAAAAACACGTGTGGTAGAAAGACTATCAAATATGAGGTATGTGCATGAAGCAGAATCTACAGCATTGAACAACTTTTTAAAACACAGAATTTCTCTATTATCTATAAGCTGTGTGTTTATGTGTGTATGTTTATATAAATATGTTTATATATGTGTGTATATGTGAGTGTTTACGTGTGCAGATGTGTAGATGCTATGACACACCATGATGCAAGGCAATAAGAAGACAACCCTGAGCACTGGTCTCCATCTTCTGCTATGTTGCACACAGATGCCCTCATTGCTCACTGCAGTGTATGCCAGGCTAGCAGACTGCAAGGGTCCTGGGATTCTCCTGCCTCTGTCTTCCATCTCTCCAAAGAGCATGGAGTTACAGGTGCCCACCACTGCACCGAACTTTATGTGAGTTCTGGAGGCTTAACTGAGGTCCTCAGCCATGCACAGCAAGCCCTTCACCCAATAAACTGTCCCCAGCCTCACCTTGTTATACAGACAGATAGATTCATGATCACAGTGAAATCAATGTGAGGGATTGATTAATTAATATAAAGAACAAAATAGTGGATGAATGGCACAAAGGATGGTTCTCTGAAAACACAAAGAAACTTTATGTGCCCTAAGACTTACTACCAAAACAACAACAAAAACCCTGAGAAATAATTTTAATTCAAATAAATAAGGGATGAAAATATAATATCAAGCACATACTATTAAAATTAAAGAATTCAGAGGAAATATTGAGAATTATTTCTTAGAAATTAGAATGTATGAAAGAATTGTGTATACATCTATGCACCATCCCTCCCAAAAATGAACTAAGAGTTTAGAACAGGCTGCCTGGGTCAGTTACCAATGAAGAGATGAGATGGAAGTAATGATGAAGTCCCAACAGCAGAAAGCCCGGATCCTCAAATACTTGCTCAAAATTCATTAAATGCTAAAAAGAGCTAAAGCCAACATTCCACACATTGTTCCATGACTTAGAGAACCATGTTTCCAAACAAATGCTAAGGAAGGAGCACACATACCAAGATTTCCCCATGCAGTCTGCATAGACTCTTCCTCCCGACCCCAATCATAGCCTCTGTTCTTGGACTGGTTCTGCTCCTTAGCCTACAACTTCTATCATTTTCTTACTAAGAAGGGAATGGGAAGGGCAAATGATTGACACACTGTCTGAATATGAAGTAAGAAAGGGTAATATAGCTATGTTTTCTATAAGAATATGCCTTTTTCAATCTGAATATTCACTACTCTGAATCAGTCAGTCAGTTTTTTGGACTTAGTGTGTGTTTGTGCTGTACCTATACACCAGTAAATAATGTCGTCTACTTGAGGAATGTCTCCCAGTCCTAAACTGAGCATATTCTAATCTCTTCATCAGGGAGGGAAATCAAAATTTTGTGGAAGTGTATTTAGATTTTCTATTTTGAATAAGGTTGTTTTCTTTTGATTTATTTTGAGTGTTAACCTTGGCAACACTCTCCTGTCCTCTGAATGCTTCTTTCTAGTCTTTGAATTTCTACTTGAGATATATTGATTGTGGTTTTATTGTATTTTAATAATAGCAACAATACTACTAATATCCCATTAATCATTGGTTACTTGTTACCAAGTCTAGAGGCAGCAAGGAGGGCTATATGATGGTACTACTCATCAAACATTAGCAAGAAGCTGTTATATGTGTGACACAAAAAGGCCGTATGTGCAATGGAGTTCTGAGAATCTGCTTCTTGCTTCAGGGATGCAGAACTTAGATGCACCATGTTTCAAAAAAGAGAAGTCTTTAAATAATAAACAACAGGGCTTTTGTAATATCTAAAGCATTTTTCTAATGAGTCACCATTAGAATTGAACATCTTTTAAATAATAGACTTCAGGTGACAGTTGTATGGCTTGGGAAGACTGTGAGGCCACTGGCAGTGAGACCAGGATTTACCCTACTGCTTGTACTGGCTTTTTGGAACCCATTCTCTTTGAAGGGATACCTTGATCAACCTAGGTATAGTGGGGAGGGTCTTCGTCCTGCCTCAAAGTAATGTTCTAGAATTTGTTGATTCCCCATGGAAAACCTTACCCTTTCTGAGAAGTGGATTGGGAGTGAGATGGGGAGGGGAAAAGTGGAGGGAGTGGGAGAAAGGGAGGAAGTGGGAACTGGGATTGATAAGTAAAATGAGAAAAGGGTTTCTTTTAAAAAATAATCATTTAAAAATAAATAAATAATAGTCCTATATTAATATTTTAATTTTTTCCTGTGAGTTTGTGCTTTTTTTCTGTATACAAATTCATGCAATGTCAATAGCATATTCAGAGTAGACCCTAAGTAAATAAAACCTCTTTTAAGTCAAAAAATCAACCAGTATGATTTTGTGTTTACAGTGGGATCATGAAACCTGGCCTCAATGCAATTATGGCTCCTCAAGATGGGAGCAGATCTTTGTGAGTATAACAGCAAGCATATGCAAGCTCTTTGTATCTAGTTTCTGTGCTGTAAAAATCACTTCTATAGGACTTATTTAAATATTATCTGGGTTTATCTATTCTGGTCCCAAGTACAGGTTACAATGTGCAGGAGGAGGCTTCCTAATTTTCAACCAAGAACAGCAAGTCTTATTAGAGCACCTTAATGATAGGAAATGATACAGCTATTGGCATATGGTATTGGGTCATATTATTATTAGTTAATGTGGGGAGATAGTATTAAATTGGGAAGGTGAAGTAGAAGTTTTCTGGGGACAAGAAATCATCACCATGTCTAATTCTCAAACTACAGAAGCACATTACCAATTTGAGTTCCCAATGTCAGGGAGGGGAGGTCAGGTGAATCATGTCTTACATTCATAATTCTGGGCTGTATTAGAGCACACACTGAACAGAAAGGAGTGTGTGTTTGTGTGTGTGTGTGCGTGTGTATGTGTGTGTGTGTGACTTCAGTTAAACTTATGCAGCATTTTATTCTGAGCATCTGAAAGCTGATAGCTGTTACTGAAGGGAGGAAATAAACCACACAACATATGTAAAACTTGTAGGTTATTAGATGTCTTAGCCGCAAGGACAGATCCACATGGATTATCGGGAGATATTTTGATAAATGGAAAACCTCGGCCTGCTAATTTCACATGTACTTCTGGTTATGTGCCACGGGTAAGTATTTGTGGGTTTGTAATTTTAGATTTTCTGTGTTGTTAGATGCTCAACTTGTAGATATGTGTGTTTTCAGTTAGGTATATGACACATATATAGTCCCTACTTTCTCCACTGCTTAGAAGATATTTTCTGAAAATAATTGCTGATAGCAGTCACCAAAATCCCTGTGCACTACTTGGAAAGAAAATGGGAGGGGAATGAAAGTTACTGCATCAGGCTCTGTACCTGAAAGGAGTGAACCTGAAAGAATAATTTTAAGTAGAGCATTGGGTGTGCTTTATATGTGATCAGGTTACATACTTTAGAGTGATGGTCATATTGATAACTATTTGTAATTAAAATTCCACTTAACCTTAAGAATGATATGGTGATGCGCACAGTGACTGTGAGAGACAACATAGAGTTCTCAGCAGCTCTTCGACTGCCAATGACTATGACAAAAGATGAAAAGAGAAGACGAATTAATGAGGTCCTTGAACTTCTGTGTCTGGATAAAATGGCAAATGTCAAGGTAATGTGAAGAAAAATCTTGAAAGACTCAGAGAGAGAGAGAGAGAGAGAGAGAGAGAGAGAGAGAGAGAGAGAGAGAGAGAGAGATATTCATGTATGGATTATATATGACCCTCTGTCAACAGCTCCATATAATGTGTGTGCTCAATGCAGCTGTTCTGTGTATTAATGGTTACATGCTGTAGAGTGGAAACTGAGCTGCAAAACCTTCTTTACAGTGGCTAAACCTGGGAATGGAGTGTGATCCAGCAGGGAAGAGTGTTCCTTACATGGCCACTTTCAAATACTCCTCATGAGAGCCTCCTCTTCCCTCAGCCTTAATCTCATGACTTTAGAGAATTGGACAAGTGCTTTCTTCTGTTTATTTTCTCTTCCCCTAGAGGACTTGTCCCTTGTAGTTTCAGAATGTGTTTCTGCACTGATACAGAATGTGAGATGGAGAACTCTGGCTCTGTGTTCACTCTGCATTTATTTCCCTCCAGAGCTGTCCTTGGTCTCTTTAGCATTTATTTATAACTTGTATAGTGCATGTTGTTTTCTATAGACTTTCTTTTTGTGTTTTGTGGTGCCCAGTTTTAACTGTCAACTAGACTGGGTCTAGAATTACCTAAAATCATCTAGAAGAAAGTTTCAATGAGGAATTATAGTCAGGTTGACTTGTGGACAATTTTATTTGTCAGAAATCAGAGAAGGCATCTGATTATCTTGATTAAGCTAAGATACATGGAAAGACCTAACCCACTCAGGCAATGCCATTCTTTGGGTTTAGGTTCTGGGTGTCATGAGCATGGATAAAGTGAGCTGAACACTGACAGGCATGGATGCATTCATCCTCTCTGTGCTCTGGACCATATGTAGTCAGCTTTATCAGCTTCCTGCTTGACTTCCCTGCAATGGTCAACTATACTTTTGAATTGTGTACCAAAATAAAACCATTTAGCCTACTTGTTTACCTTTTATCTTAGTAAATGGCCAGAAACTAGGGTACACTTTGCCTTTGCCCCTGCTTCCTCATCTTCTACTTTTATTTATTCCTAGACTCTGTGTAAGGTTTAATAGATACAACCTTGGGCAAATGTAACAATAAATGGATCAAGTGATGCTTCCTGTTGAGACTTGTACAGGATTAGGAAGGGTAATGGATAAGTGGTGAGCTTCAGAGCTGACTATTACAATAGCTAGCTAATTTCTTACTGACATATTAGAAAGAATATTGAAAAGTGTTTCATCTCAGAATACTCTTTTTTAGCCATGAAAAATAAGGACATTTGCTTCTCTTAGCAATTCCATTCTTAATTATCAAAATGAGCGAAATCTTGATAACATCAGCCCTGACAGGTTATAACTATTCACATTCCTCAAAATATTGCATTGTTTACAGAACCTGATCTGGCATTTAATTTATTATTTGCCTCGAGTTTTTCAACATTAAAGTTGCTTCCCTCTTCTTGTGTTACCCACACCATCCTGACTCTCACAATGACATCAGTACATTGAGAAGATGTTGTAAGAGCTGCTTGTTCATTTCATGGCTGCCCAGACTCACTAAATATCACACAGAAACTATATTATTTAAATTGCTGCTTGTCCCATTAGCTCTAGCTTCCTATTGGCTAACTCTTACATCTTAATTTAACCAATCTCCATTAATCTGTGCCTCACCATGATGTTGATGGCAAGCAGCAAAGTTTTAATGTGTCTGTTTCTGGTGGCGGCTCCATGGCTTCTCCCTGACTCTGCCGTCTTTCTACCCAAAATTCAGTTTAGTTTTCCCTGCCTAGCTCTGTTCTGCTAAGCAACTGGCTGAAACAGATTCTGTATTAGCCAATGGTATTCATAGTATATAGACAGGAATCTCACATCACCTTCCCCTTTCTGTTTAAATAAAAAAGAAGGCTTTTAACTTTAACATAGTAAAATTAAATATAACAAAAAGGAATCAAGCAAAAATTACAGTTACAATATTTACATCTCTTTAATCTTTTATAATAATTAAAGAAAACTATAACTATCTATTTTTCAACTCCATCAAAGACTCCAAAATGGTATGATATTACTAAGTAAACAGGAAGTGCATTGTAAGCAACTTCCAAAACTCTAGAATTGACAGAGATATCTCGCTGCCTGGACAGTCACCCATAGTTCTGTATTGTAGGGGCATCCATCTTCAGCCTATAGGCCATGGTATCCAGCAAACTTTCCACAGAGCAGGAAATTTCAAAGACAGTTGAACCTGTATTGGCAGTTTGTCAGTCACTTTCTTCTTTGTCCTGCAGAATGTCAGGCAGACTCTTTCATGAATCAGGAACCCTGGAGAATCATCTTACCTTTAGGCAAATTCAACAGACATATTTCTGTGTCTGGCATGTCCAGTTCATACAGCATAGCATCAAGCATTCAGGCAAGAGCAGTTTCTTGTCCAAATGGCTAACAAACTTCATGAGGAGCCTTTTGAATGCCCATCTTCCTCTTGAAGTAATTGGTGCTGCCAGGAGCAGATGTGTCTCATTGTATATACAGATGTCTCTAGTGCAGACATTTGGTGATATGGATGAAAGTGGGCTCCCCAGAATATGATTTTCATGAATTAATGTTGCAATGTATAATAAGATAATCCCACACTAACACAGAATGGAGTATAATAAAGGTTCATTTATTTAGATGTAGACTCACATAAAAGCAATGATCAGCAGTCATCTGCGTGAACAGGGGACTGAAACCAAATCTAGCAGCCAAGGGTCAGTGCCTGCTTTTTCATCTGAATTTATAGTACATGAGACCAAGCCCAACGTTGGTCAATATCTTAAAGGCTATTGGTTGAAGGAGTTCCCACAGCCAAATAATGTCTCTGGTGGCTCCTCCTTAGCAGCAGTGAGAAGTCGGAACATACTGACTGTTGATTCCCATGATCCTTCACATTTGTTTGCAAGATGGTTGTCTTGTTGGGAAGAATAATAGAAAAGCTGATATTTACCATGCTTTCTTTTTTTTCTAAGTGATGGAATTTTGTGAACTTTGGCTCTGCTGTTTATTGATGTGGTTTATGTTTACAATGAGATAATTTCTTTCCTATTTTTTTTTAATTGACTCTCCAATTTTCTCTGCCTCTCTCCTCCTTCCTTCAATCCTTCCCCAAGGTTCCCATGCTCCCAATTTACTCAGGAGATCTTGTCTTTTTTTACTTCCCATGTAGATTAGATCTATGTAAGTTTCTCTTAGTGTCCTCATTGTTGTCTGAGTTTTCTCGGGTTGCAATTTATAGGCTGGTTTTCTTTGCTTTATGTTTAAAACCACCTATGAGTGCGTACATGTGATAATTATCTTTCTGTGTCTGGGTTACCTCATTCAAAGTAATGTTTTGTAGCTCCATCCATTTATCTGCAAAATTCAAGATATCATTATTTTTTTCTGCTATGTAGTACTCCACATCTTCCTTATAAATTCTTTGGTCGAGGGGCATTTAGGTTGTTTTCAGGTTCTGGCTATGACAAACAATGCTGCTGTGAACATAGTTGAGCACATGTCCTTGTGGCATGATTGAATGATTGAGCATCCTTTGGATATATACCCAAAAGTGGTGTTACTGGGTCTTGAGGAAGGTTGTTTTTTAATTTTCTGAGAAATCACTACACTGACATCCAAAGGGGTTGTATCAGCTTGCACTCCCCCCAGCAATGCAGAAGTGTTCCCTTTTCCCCACAACCTCTCCAGCATAAGTTGTCGTCAGTGTTTTTGATCTTGTTGGCCATTCTTACAGGTCTAAGATGGAATCTCAGAGCTTTTTGATTTGCATTTCTCAAATGACTAAGGATGTTGAACTTTTCCTTAAGTGTCTTTCAGTCATTTTAGAATCCTCTGTTGAGAGTTCTCTGATTAGGTCTGTACTCCATTTTTTTTTTATTGAATTATTTGTTCTTTCTATGACCAATTTCTTGAGTTTTTTTTGTATATTTTGGAGATCAGACCTCTTTCTGATGTGAAGTTAGTGAAAATCTTTTTCATTCTGTAGGCTGTTGTTTTGTCTTGTTGACCACATCCTTTGCTTTTCAGAAGATTTTCAGTTTCAGGAGGTCCCATTTATTAATTGTTTCTCTGAGTGTCTGTGCTTCTGGGGTTATAGTTAGGAAGTCGTCTCCTGTGCCAATATGTTAAAATGAACTTCCCACTTTCTCTTCTGTAAGGTTCAGTGTGGCTGGCTTTATGTTGATGTCTTTAACACATTTGGACTTGAGTTTTGTGCATGGTGATAGATATGAGTCTACCTGTTGGTATTTAGTTATATCAGCATCATCTTTTTTCCATTTGATATTTTTTGCTTCTTTATCAAAAATCAGGTGTTCGAAATGTGTAGATTAGTATCCTTGTCTTCTATTTGGTTCCATTGGTCCTCCTGTCTGTTCTTATGCCAATAACCAGGCTTTTTTCAGTACTGCAGCTCTGTAGTAGAGTTTGAAGTCAGGGATTGTGATGCCTGAAGAAGTTCTTTTATTGTACAGGATTTTTGGCTATCCTGGGTTTTTTGCTATTCCATATTAAGCTGAGTACTGTTTTTTGGAGGTCTGTGAAGAGTTTTGCTGGGATTTTGATGGGCATTGCATTGAATCTGTAGATTGTTTTAGGGAAGATTGCCATTTTTACTACATTGATTCTACCTTCCCAAGAGCATGGGAGATTTTTCCACTTCATGGTGTCTTCTTCAATTTCTTTCTTCAGTGATTTAAAGTTCTTGTCATACAAGTCTTTCACTTGTTTGCTTAGAGTTACTCCAAGACATTTTATGCTATTTGTGGTTATTGTCAAGTGTGTTGTTTCTATGATTTCTTCCCCAGCCTTTTTTTCATCTGTGTACAGGAGGGATACTGATTTTTTTTTAGTTAATCTTTTATCCTGCTATATTACTGAATGTGTTTATGAGTCATAGAAGTTCCTTGGTAGATTTTTTGGGGTTGCTTATGTAAACTATCATATCTTCAGCAAATAGTGAGAGTTTGACTTCTTTTCTGATTTGTATCCCCCTGATCTCCTTTTGGCGTCTTATTGCTCTAGCTAGGACCTCAAGAACTATATTGAATAGAGATGGAGAGAGTGATCAACCTTGTCTTGTTCCTGATTTTAGGGGAATCACTGGGAGTTTCTCTTCATTTAGTTTGATGTTGGCTGTTGGCTTGCTGTATATTGCCTTTATTATGTTTAGGTATGTTCCTTGTATCCCTGTTCTCTCCAAGATCTTTATCATGAAGGGATGTTGTATTTTGTTGAAAGCTTTTTCAGCATCTAATAAGATTACCATGTGGTTTTTATTTTCCAGTTTGTTTATATGGTGGATTATGTCCACAGATTTTCATATGTTTAACCATCCCTGCATCTCTGGGATGAAGCTGACTTGATCATGGTAGATGATGGTTCTGATGTGTTCTTGGATTAGCTTTGCCAGTATTTTATTTAGTATTTTTGTATCAATATTTATGAGTGAGATTGGTCTGTAATTCTCCTTCTTAGTAAAGTCTTTCTGTGATTTGGGTATCAGGGTAATTGTTACCTCATAAAAAGAGTTTGGCAATGTTCCTTTTGTTTCTATTGTGTGGAATAATTTGAGGAGTGTCAATATTAGTTCTTCTTTGAAAGTCTTGTAGAATTCTGAGCTGAAACTGTTGAAGGAGCTGCGGTGGGCTGCGTTCCTGCCCAGCTCTGCACAGCTATCTTTATACCCGAAATAATTACAGGGAAACTGTCTTCTTTTAAACACTGCCTGGCCCATTAGTTCCAGCCTCTTATTGGCTAGCTCTTACATATTGATCTAACCCATTTCTAATAATCTGTGTAGCCCACAAGGAGGCTTACCAGGGAAGATCTTAACCTGCGTCTGTGTAGGGTGGAAGAATTATGGCGACTGCCTGACTGGGCTTCTTTCTCCCAGTATTCTGTTCTGTCTACTCCGCCTACCTAATTTTCTGTCCTATCAGGGCCAAGGCACTTTCTTTATTAACAGATAAATAGATGACACTCCCACATCATGAAACCATCTGGTTCTGGGCTTTTTTACATCAAAAAGTAAGAGTTTTTATGACTGTTTCTATTTCTTCTGCAGGAATAGGTCTGTTTAATTCGCTTATCTGGCCTTGATTTAATTTTGGTAAGTGATATTTATTCAGAAAGTTGTCCATTTCCTTTAAGTTTTCCAATTTTGTGGAGTACAGGTTTTCAAAATATGACCTGATGATTCTCTGTATTTTCTTTGTGTCTGTTGTTATGTCCCCCTTTTCATTTCTGATTTTCTCTCTGCCTTTTGGTTAGTTTGGATAAAGGTTTGTCTATTTTGTTGATTTTCTCAAAGAACGAGCTCTTTGTTTCAGTGATTCTTTGCATTGTTTTCTTTGTTTCTATTTTGTTGATTTCAGCTCTCAATTTAATTACTTCCTGCTGACTATTTCTCTTAGGTGAGTTTGATTCTTTTTGTTTTAAATTTTTCAAATGTTCCATTAATTCACTAGTGTGGGATTTTTCCAGCTTCTTTATGTAGGCATTTAGTGCTATGAACTTTCCTCTTAACATTGCTTTCATTGCGTTCCATAAATTTGGGTATATTGTGTGGTCCTTTTCATTAAATTTAGGAAGTCTTTAATTTCTCCCTTTATGTTATCATTGACCCATTGATGATTCAGGTGGGCATTGTTTAATTTCCATGTGTTTGTGGGTTTTCTGGAATTAGTATTGTTGTTGACTTTTAGTTTTAAACCATGGTGATCTGATAAGATACATTGAGTTATTTCAATTTTTTTTTGTATTTGTTGAAGTTTGTTTTGTTACTGTTCAGTTTTTGAGAAGGTTCCATGAGGTGCTGATGAGAAGGTCTGTTTGGATGGAATATTATATAGATGTCTGTTAAGTTCATTTGAGTCATAACATCTGTTAATTTTCTTACTTCTCTGTTCATTTTTTTGTCGGATTGACCTGTCCAGTAGTAAGAGGGGAGGGTTCAAGTCTCCCACTATTAATGTGTGTGGTTTAATGTATGGGGTTTTATTTAAGACTTCAGACGTGTTTCTTTTACATATGAGGGTGCCCTTGTATTTGGGGCATAGATGCTCAGTATTAAGATTTCCTCTTGATGAGTTTTTCCTGTGACTAATATATAATGACCTTCTTTGTCTCTTTTGATTGATTTTAGCTTGAAGTCTATTTTGTTAGATTTTAGATAGCTATATCCACTTGTTTCTTAGGTCCATTTGATTGGAATATTTTTTTCCAAACCCTTTACTCTGAGACAATGTTTGTCTTTGAGGTTGATATGTGTTTCTTGTATGCAAAAGAACATTGGATTATGTTTTTATATCTAATCTGTTTGCCTGTGCATTTTTATAGGTGAGTTGAGTCCATTTACATTAAGGGATATTAATGACCAGTGATTGCTATCTTCTGTTAATTTAGTTGTCATTTCTGGTGATGTTAATTTGTGCATTTCCCCTCCTTTGGGATTTGCTGTTATGAGACCATCAATTGTCTGTGTTTTTGTTGGTTTAACCAACTTCCATCGGTTGGAGTTTTCCTTCTTGTATTTTATATAGGATTGGGTTTGTGGCTAGGTATTGGTTAAATCTAGTTTTGTCATGAAATATCTTGTTTTGTCCCTTTATGGTGATTGAAAGTTTTGCTGGGTATGGTAGTCTGGGCTGGCATCTGTGGTCTCTTAAGGTCTGCATAAAGCTTGACCACAACCTTCTGGCTTTCATTGTCTCCAATGAGAAGTCAGGTATAATTCTAATAGGTTTACCTTTATATGTTACTTGGCATTTTTCCTCTGAAGCTCTTAATATTCTTTCTTCACTCTGTATGTTTAGTGTTTTGATTATTATGTGGTGAGGGGTCTTTTTTGGATCCATTCTATTTGGTGTTCAATAAGTTTCTTGTATCTTCATAGACATACCTTTTTTAGGTTGGGAAAGTTTTCTATGATTTTGTTAAATATATTTTCTGTGCTTTTGAGTTGAAATTTTTCTCCTTCTTCTATATGTATAATTCTTAGATTTGACCTTTTAATGGTGTCCCACATTTCCTGTATATTTTAGGTAAAGCCTTTGTTAGATTTAATGTTTTCTTTAATTGAGAGTCTATTTTCTCTATTATATTCTCAGTGCTTGAGTTTCTCTCCCATATTTTATATTCTGTTGTTCATGCTTGTATTTGTGGTTCCTGATCATTTTCTCATGATTTCTGTTTCTATAATTCCCTTGACTTGTGCTTTCTATATTGTCTCTGTTTCAGTTTTCAAATCTTGAATAGTTTCTTTCATATGTTTGATTGCTTTTTTTTGGTTTTCTTTAAGGGATTGTTGATGTCTTCCAATTTTTGTTTGCCTTTTCCTCCATTTCTTTGAGAGAATTTCTCATTTCCTCTTTAAGAGTTTCAAACAATCTTTTGAAGTTGTTTTTTAGGTCAATTTCTTCTGATTTATCTATATTTGATCTTCAAGTCTTGCTGTTGTAGGATCTTTAGATTTTACTGGTGTTGTGTTGCTCTTTGTGGTGTTGTATGTATGTTCTTACCCTTTCTAGTCATCTTTTCCTCTACTAGGTGTGGTTGGGGCTGTCTGAGATTCTGTTAGTTAATCTAGGTGCCAGTGAATCCAAAGTTCAGATGGTTGTTCCTCATGTTACAGTCAGTGCCACAGTTCTAGTACCCCATTGGTTACTCCATGTTCCTGGAGATCAGTACTCCTGGGCTTTGCTCTGCTCCCTTGGAGCTTGCTGCCTCAGGCCTACTTTGGTCTAGGTTACTGGCTTTGACCTGTTTCTGTAAATCCTGGTCTGGATCCACTCCTGCAGAAGTCCCTGGCTTGGAGTTGGCCCTGCGAAGGTCCCTGGTTCAAGTCTACTGCCTTGAAGTTTTCAGGCTAGGGTATACCCAGAACCACAAAGAACATGGCTCAGGCTTATTCCCTCAGAGGTCCCAGATTCATGTTCAGACCCTCAGAGGTTTCAAGTTCCTGCCTATTCTTTTTGATGTCCCAGACCAACCCCTGGATCTACAGAGGTCCTCGCTCAGGCCTACTCCCTCTGTGGTCCCAGACTCATGCCTGGCCCCACAGAGATCTCTGATTCCTGCCTCCTCCCTCAGAGTTACTGGATTCATGCCCAGATTGGCTCAGGCTTTCTTTTCTAGAAGAATAATTATTCATTGCCCTAGGTTGTTTAGTTGGTTTGTTTTTTACAACATATGAATTACTACAGATACTTCTTCTCCTGTGCTGTCTTTCTTGTTCTTTAGACAGAGATTAACACAGGCTTTATGTCAAGTCTGACCTGAGTCTTTCTACTCACTTGAAAAAGAAAATCCCCTTCTTATCCTAGGTGGTCATATTTTTGCTTGTCAGAATAATGATAGAACAAAATCTTTTATTGCTGGAATAGGCTCATTCACTAATTGACAAATACTGTTCATGTTCTTTTTGATAATGATGGTTGTTGTTGCTTTAGCCTAACTCTAAAGAGATTGAGAAAAGGACCAGTATAGCCATGGAGCTGGTCACTGAGCATCCCATTTTGTTCTTGGATGACCCCACCACTGGTTTAAGCTTGAACACTTCTACTGATGTCATCTCGGTCCTGAGAAGGTAAGTGCTAAAGGAACGTTGTTTTATTCACTTAATACCTGATCACATGTGTGTATTTTTGGTGCAGGAGATTCAGAAGTAAGCAGTGGAATTCATTGTTTATTAGCTGGAAAACTCCACTAACAAGGATTACACATCAAGAACAATGAGACAGGAGCATAGGGAATGATGGCTGTGGTGAAGGTGGAGACTGCTTTAAATAGCATGTACCCATAGCACTCAAGTCAGTGTCAAGAGAGCTGAATGGGTGAGATCTGAACAAAGTGAAGGCTGGAGGGAAAATATATTTGCTCTGTGACATGGCATGTTTGATGTGTCTGGAACATTAAAGAGATCAAGTTGACTATAACCCAGTGGTCTGAGGGGATGAAAAGTTGGTAGTACACTTTCAAAGATACCATAGTGTGGGTGACTAGATAGAAGTTAAATTTCTTACAGTTCTGGATTCTGGAAGCCAAATATTAAGGTCTTCACAGGCCTTGTTTGCTGAGACTTAAGTCGCTGATTGTTAATCGTATCTTCTTTCTCTTTACCTGTCTATGCCCTGATCTCTTAAATGGACACCAGTTACATTAGGTTACCCTAGTAATTTCATGAAACTTAATTACCTTTTCAAAGACTCTGTCTCCAATTATATCCACATTTTAAGCTTTTAGATGTGAAGTCTTCAACAAATGGGTTTTTGGAAGGTTACAATTCTGCTCTCCACATTCACAGTTGAAGTGAGGTTGCATTGAGTAGATTGCCTAGACCACCTGAGCCAATGTAACGACTAAGGTTTTCCATGGCAGGGGACGGATGTGAGAAAACTTCTGAGTTTAGAGCAGAGCAATACATCATGGAGAAGGTTGTGCAGTTGCTCTGTGGGGGTGTTAAGTGTCAGCAGAATGCTTAGTTATATTGGTTCCTTAGCTAGCAACTGGTGTGTTCTGTATAGCTTTAATATAGAGTAAGTAGGTTTAACTTTGGGATTAGCCCTGGATGTGATGACTGAGGGAATGATTCCTAAGGTCTAGGTCCTGATCAAGGGGAAGAATATAGTAAAAAGAATGATATTTTATTCTCTCACAAAATAAGTCTGTGGATGAAATATTTATAGAAAGTTTATAAGGGTTAGTTTTTGCACATTTTAGAATTAACAGAGTTTACAACTGACTGACTAATCCCAAGAACTATGTAAGAACTATCCCATTCCCATGAAATAAGCTCCTGGCTGTTGAATTTACAGCCCTTTCTGTCTTTCCTTCCTTCCCCTTGTTCTTTGTTTTGTTCTGACATCATGGTCCATCACCCTAAATACTGTTTCCTGTCCCTCAAGGGATGAAGATCACTCCGCCATTGTACCTTCCCAGTGATGATGCCAACAGCTGGGGCCTTGCCATCATCTACCTGTGTCACCTTCTTGCCTCAGGTGTCACCACCTTCTGTTTCTGTCCCTTTTCCTTTCTGCTTCAGGATACACCTTAAGATCAGGTTTCTGCTCATTTTCCAGTATGGAATGCTACCCTCCTTCCCTGCGTCTCATGCCATGGGTAGTCAGTGCATTGTATGGGGTCATCCCAAGTGTGGTTTCTCCTAGTATTCTGGGAGTAAACTCAGGCCCTGATATGCTGTATCTCCTATGTCTCCAACACTCCTGGAAGTGCATCCTAGTGGTAGAATTCTTTTTAAAAACATTTTTATTTTGTGTGTGCTTGAGTTGTTTGGTGTGTGTGTACATGTGTACCTGTATAGCATGCCTGTAGAGGTCAGAGGAGAGCGCAAAGAGTTCACTTTCTCCTCCATCCAAATAAGTGTGTTCTGGGGACTGAACTAGGGTCTTAAGACTTTGCATTAAGTTTCTTTACCCATTGAGTAATCTTATTTCTTGTATTGAATCTTTATCATTTAGTCAGGCTGGTGGTTGCTGGGTAATATGATATAAAATTGCACTTTTCATTTTGTGATTTATTAATAGTCTCTCAAAGAAAATAATCAGTTATCATGCCCATTATTCTGCCATTATATTGTCTATACAAACCATTTGTCCTGGTGGAATTCAAGATGTGCACTCACCATGCTCTTTTCCTTTCCCTCCCTCCCTCCCTCCCTCCCTCCCTCCCTCCCTCCCTCCCTCCATCTTTTCTTCCTCCCTCCCTCCCTCCCTCCCTCCCTCCCTCCCTCCCATTTTTCTTCCCTCCCTTCTTCTCTCCCTTCCTTTCTTATGTTCTTCCCTCTTTTAGTATTTCTGACCATTATTACTTACTCCCTCTTTCCCTCATCCTCTATTTCATCCATCCTGTCTGTTTGTCTTTTTGAAACAGGGTCTCACACAGCATAGATGGGCCAAGTGCTAGAATGTTACAGATATGCCATCATACCCATATTTTATGAAGATATTTTCATAGAAGTTTTGAACAGTTTTTGGTTATTTGTGCTCAGATTTTCTGAAATGGTAGTTCAGCTTATTTTTTTCCCATCATGGAATTAAATGAATAATAAAGTCTCAGGCTTGACCCTCTCTAGCTGACCTCTTGGTCTATTGCTTGACATTTTGAGCCTTAACAACAGAATGGGGGAATTCTATTAGATTTTCCTTATGCCTAAACTATGAAAATCAAAATGAGATTATTGCTTCAGTGTTTATCAGGAGAGTAAGTGGTTAGGAATATGAGTCACATCATAGAACAGTGAAAACCATTTCCTGAAGAGACAGAAAGTGTGAATGATTGAGGGGAATTGTGCTTACAGTCATAGCTGTAATATTTGCTCTGTCATTGCATCTCAAGCTTGGGTGAACCTGTCAATCACCTGAGCAGCCTGCTCATGATATGGATTCCCTGCACTGACTCTGTCTGAGAAGACAGCACAGGGATCTAAATAATAACACTTCAGTGGACCCTCCAATACTGACGCCCCACATGTTAGAAGTCTTAATTTTTTAAATAAAAGCTTGGAGCTTGTTTTCTCTATTAGGTGCATTACACAAGTGAGACAGGGTGTTTTTAAGAAAAATTCAAGCTGAAATGGGAACCTAGATTATAACTTCAGGAATAAAATATTTTGTCGATAATCTCAAGGTTTCTCTCTGTCCAGTGACTTATTATTTTTCCCTCTTTAAACTTAGGATGTCTAGGAGGGGACGGACAATCATCTTCTCCATTAATCAGCCCCCATACTCCATCTTCAGACTGTTTGACAGCCTCACCTTAGTGGCCTCAGGAAAAGTCATGTTTCACGGGCCTGCACAGGAGGCTTTGGAGTACTTCAAATCTGCAGGTATGGCTGGCTTTTGCGATGAGATCTCTTTCATTCATGAGATATGTGGAGAGAGCAGGGTTTCTCAGGAATGCTACTTGACCCTCGTGCAGGCTTACTGTGTATGGGTTTCTTTATTTTAAATACCTTTGTTTAATTTGATTATAGGATTCTGTTAGTCGTGCAACACAGACTTTTTGCTGTTCAGGTCTCTTTTCTTTTCTCTTGTCTTGTAAGCATGCCTGTTGTACAAGATTTTTACTGAGTCTCCTATTCTGCTTCCCAGTTGTGGTAACCTTCTTAACTAACATGCTGGGCTCAGGGCCATTTATCTATCATTTCAACAACATTGGGAAGGTCCAGCACCATCGTGTTCTTGTTCACATAGCGGATGGTGATTTTCAGTTTTCCCCTCATGTGACCTGACTCTGAGGAGCTATGGAGACCTTGCTTAGTGGTTACTTTGCATTTCAGGTTTAGATAATTGAGAGCTGTAGTGGTTTAAGTCTGGCTCCTGCGAACTCATGTTTTTGGTCTGTCTGGTTTTATTTTACAGTGAGATTAGATAATGACATATTTTTGATGGTTCTTGCCATCAATTTTATCTTAGTGAAATATTAATATAGCTATTGTTGATTATCTTTAACTACAAATATAGGTTCAAATAATTGCTGCTCAATATTATTTATTTGTTTTGATTAATCTTTGTCATTTAATAATATGCAAAGATTTGTGGGTCTATGGAGTCCAACAAAAATTTAGGCCAAATTAAAATAATTGTTTCACAAGATGAGTCCGTGTTTGTGTGTGTGTGTGTATGTCTGTATGAATATATATGGCCTATGTCTATATCTCTGTCTGTGTAGTCTAAATCTATGTTCATGTTTATGTCCATGTCTATGTGTAGTCTATGTCTATATCCATGTGCATATCTAGATCCACATCAGTGTCCAAGTCCATGTGCATGTCTATCTCCATATCTAAGTCATTGTCCATATCAATATCTACATGTATATCCATGTTCATATCTATCTCTATGTTCATGTCCATATGTTTGTCTATGTCCATGTTCATGTCTTTGATGGGGGAGGTCCTTCTCTCTATGCGTTGCTTTTATTGGTTAATGAATAAAGAAACTGCCTTGACCTGTTGATAGGGCAGAACTTAGGTAGGAGGGGAAAACTGGACTGAGTGCTGGTATAGGCAGAGAGGAGAAGGCAGAGAGGGAGAAGCCATGGAGCCGCGGGGGAGAGAAGTGCTGAAACTTTGCTGGTAGGCCACGACCTCATGGTGATGCACAGATTACTTGAAATGGGTTAAATTAAGATGTAAGAGTTAGCAAATAAGAAGTTAGAGCGAATAGGCTAAGCAGTGTTTTAATTTGTACAGTTTCTGTGCAATTATTTCCGGTCTAAGCTAGCTGGTCGCCGGGAAGAACAAGCACCATTCTCCTACATGTCTGTGTTCATGTGTAGTCTATGTCTCGGTCTATGACTCTCACAATATATGTATGTATGTATGTATACATATACACACATATATATGTTTATGTCAGAGCCTATAGATATGTCAACTCTGTCTATGCCTGAGTATTATATATGGGTATGTATATATGTATGTATGTATAGCACCAACATAAATACATACATGCATACAATAGGCTGTGACGCAGAGATTGCTGAAATATTATGAGTGTGTATATAATAGAAAAGAACAATTTGTTGGGGGTTGGGCAAGAAGAGGAAGAAGTTCTTAGATTCAGTCCTCACTCCCCTTTCCCACTCTCTGAAAGAGGGTCCTCATGTTTATATTCATAGACTACCTTCTTTGTAGGTTACAACTATGATTCCCACAACTACCCTACAGACTTCTTCCTGGAAATCATCAATGGAGGTTTCTCTTCTCTATTAAACACAGAGGAAGATGGCCATGAAGGTATGTGAGCCTTCTAGAGTCACAGATTTTTGCCTAATTGATTTCATTAAAACATAACCATGTATCTCATGCTAATTCAGTATCTAAAATTAGCCAATAGACTTTACTGTATGCTAGTGCTGTGTTTTTTTAATTTAACGTATAAAAGAATATTTTTATGATATTGTTACAAGGGAAATTTCTGTTAAAAAGTACCTATTGATTGCCATGTTGCTTGTTCTATTGTTTTTGATAGGGTTTTCTTATGTAACCAGATTAGACTTGAATGTGTGCTCTTACTACATCACCTCCAAACTATAGGTATTACAGGGCTATGACAACATTCCTGGTTTTGTTTATAACATTTAAAAACGAGATACTTGGCAGTTTATACATTTACATACACATTCATGTCGATGGACATTTCTGTCCTGCTGAGTCCTGCAGTTGTTCAGTCCCTAAAAACCTCACAGAGGCTTATATTAATTATAAACTGGCCTATTAGCTCATTCTTATTATTAACTAGCTCTGAGAACTTTAGTTAATCCATAATAATTATCTATGTTTAGCCTCATGGCTTGGTACCTTACTCAGTGAGGTATTCTTATTTTTTTTTTTCATCTATATCTGGCTTGTGAATGCAGACTGAGCCTTTCCTCTTCCCAGAATTCTCCTAGTCTGGTTGCCTCACCTATACTTCCTGCCTGGCTACTGACTAATCAGCATTTTATCAAACCAACATGAACGGCAAATCTTTATCATGTGCAAGAGGATTTCCCACAGCACTTCCACTTTTTCTTTTCAAAACAAGAACTCTGAATCTAATTTTCTTTGTTTAACTTTTCTCATGTTATTCATAGCAACTTGTAACCAATACTCTAAACAATGACAAACATCCATAATCGATGTTTGGGCAATGTGGGCTTAGTTTTCTAAGCTACTTCCTGCTGAATGGGGGCACTGATGATTTTATGGGGACTCAAAGAAAATTTAGGATTATGATCAAGTCCTGACTGAACTATTCTGTGAGACTGGAGCATATCAGTCAGCAATCTTGAGGCTGTTCTGGGTGTAGAACACAGAGGAAACTGCAGCAGAGGTGATCTGAAACACTGGATCATCTGGGTCATCTGTTCCCATTGGAGATTTTTCAGGGGGCCTTCCTTGATCAAACTTAAATTTTCTTAACCCAGTATGAATCCACAGCCTCTCATTTCCTGTGGAAACAAAAGCAAAAGCTCTTCTCCAAAGTAACATATCTTTTCACTTAAATTTTGAAGTCAAGGCATTTTCAAATTTTATAGGTTGAATTAATTGAGCAACATTTATAATCAATTGTCTTTTAGCAGCTTTTGCTCCTTCATCAGCAGTGAAACAATACAAAGACAACACAATAACATATAGTACCAAATTCTCTGTATTTTCCATCTTTACATGGCTTTAGTTTTTTTCTACTCTCTTTTATTTTTATTTTTAGCTTTTGCTTTTTTTCAGACAGGGTTTCTCTGTGCATCTTTGACTGTCTTGGAACTTACTCTGTAGACCAGAATGCCCTTAAACTCAGAGATCCACCTGTCTCTGCTTACTGTGTACTAGGTACGATTAAAGGCATGCACCACCACACCAAACTACTCTATTTTTTCCCTGTTTTTCAAATAATTTTTTTCTATCCTTTTTCTTTTTCTCCCAAGCCTACATATATTTTTAAACACATGGTAAACTGTTTAGAGTTTTTTTTCTATTGGAATCTGTCTTTACTATAGATCTCTCTTTTTCTGATTACATGAGTCTTTAATTTTCTAAGTGATATAACTAGAATTAAGGCAGTGGCTTTGGTGACTGGATCTGCCTCACTCCTTTACTTCCTGAGAATTTAGATCCATAGCAAAAGTACTGGTGGGAGCCACTTTCCCCCCCACAAGTCTGTAGAGTTTCTAGGTCCAGGCCACCACCAAGAAGCATGCCAGCTACTGATCATAAAAACCATTTAAGTGTTTGGTGGAAGGTTCTCTTAAAAAAGCGGTGAGGTTTTTGTTGCTAACACTGAGTCAGGAAGCCTCTCTTCAAGGAGATGTGCCTTTCCTCTAGCAAAAGAGCCCACCCTAGAAAATGCTGCTACCAAGAAGCCATGTTTAACTCTGTTCTTTTGTGTCTAGAATTTCTTTCCAAGCTCTCTCAGGTTTTATGTGGATGTAATTGCCCAAACTTGATGCCATTTGTAGATGAACATTCCTATCCTGCCCATTCCCGCAGCTATTCAGTCCCAACAAAACACATGGAGGCTTATGTTAATTATAAACTGGTTGGCCTATTGGCTCAGGCTTATTATTAATTATCCCTTACATCTTAAATTAATCCATAAATATTATCTCTGTTTAGCCACGTGGCTTGGTACCTTTCTTTTTTTTTTTTTTTTTTTTTTTTTTTTTTTTTTTTACTTGTGCATGTGTTTATTTTTCTCTTATTCATCATTTTTCTTTACTGATGTTGTAAAAAAGATAGTATTAAATAACTACAGACATAGAGTAACTAACACTTTAAGTGGTACATTAAAGTTGTCAAGTAGATATACTGGTCAACAAACTTTGATTGAAGTCAAAATGTGTCAAGAAACACCTGAGGAAAGTTTGAAAATAACTCACTCATCCTCATTTTTTTTCCAACTTGCAGTATTTTTTTTTAAATCAATTCCCAAGCACTAAAATAACTCTTCAGCTACAAGAGGGCTGGGATTTAGTAACTGTGTTGGTTTGTGACAGAGCAGCATGCTGCCCACAAAGCACAGCTTGCAGTTCCAGAGGGCATGATTCACAGCTGGATAGAATTGGAAGCTATTTAAGAAGCAAGCAGTCCTAGAACCTTTACTTATGTTTTAGGAAAATGATGTCCACAGCATTCTGTAGCATGTTTTCTTCATGACTGCGTCTTCTTAATGAGGCATTCTCATCTTGCTTCTTCTGCATCTGGCTGGTGACTGCAGACTGAGCCTTTCTTTTTCCTAGCCTTTTCCTACTCTGGCTGCCCTGATTATACTTCCTGCCTGGCTACAGGCCAATTAGCATTTTATTAAACCACTACAAGTGACAAATCTTTACAGTGTACATGAGCATTTCCCACAGCACATTCACATATGGCAGAAACAGGTACCAGACTCTTTATGAATATTAAGTATACAACCATAAAATAAGGAAGACTATGTTAAGAATTAGGGTATAGATAAGGAAAAGGGCATACAGTTTGCTGTATCCATGGAATAATGACAGTAGTCAGGACAGTTAGGGACACTTTTCTAATCTGTGAAGGAATTTCTCAGGAATAACGTCTCTTTTTCTCAAAGTTTGGTGGGCAGAAGATGGAGCTCAGCTGGTAGACTACTTGCCTAGCATGCACAAAGCCTTGAGTTTGGTTCCTAGCACATAACTGGGTGTGAAGGTGCATGTCTGTAATCTCAGCACTTGAAACAGAGACAGGAGGACCTGGAAGAGTTTAAACTCACCCTTGGCTTCATAGCAACTTTGAGGCCAGTCTAGATTACATGAGACTCTTTCAAAGAAAAACTGATACATAATTTCTGTCTTACTCATGTATACTGTCTCAGAAAAATCAGTTACATTATTGTCTAATATTTCTTGTCTTTATCCACTTTTATCCCAAAGCCGATGAACATAAAGATCTTTCTGAAAGACATCACCAAGTCAGAGAAAAATTAGCCAATATGTATGTCCAGTCCTCCCTATACAGGGAAATGAAAACTGAACTGGATCCACTCTTGGGGGAACAGAAGGCAGGGAGGAGCTCAGCCTTGGAGAAGATCACGCATGTCACTCCTTTCTGGCATCAACTCTGGTGGATTATGCGTCATTCATTTAAGAACTTCAAAGGTTTTTTACAGACCACTATAATTCGGGTAATCTGATGAATTATTTTAATTGTGAAACTCAAGTGTGAAGAATTTCTGAGTCATTCTACTCAAGTCCACACTTATCTTCTGCTCCCTCCCATGTGTTTGTCATCTCCACTCTCCTTAGCATAGAGAAATATTCAACGAAGCAAGTAGAACACAAGTTTTTACTTATGGAAAGCCATTTTAGTGGTCATTTTTTATTTAGAGAAACTATAACGAATAATCCAAGTAGGAAATTAAAGGAATGCAAAGAGAAATTCAGCGCAACTGTGAGCTCCTCACACCTGTCTGCTTTATTTCACCAGTGCATCCTACAAGTTTAAAGTCCAGGAATGAGTAAAGAAGGAAAAGGTTTTTTTTTTTTTTTTTCTGGTGCAACTTTTCATGAAAAAATGGACTTGGAGAAAGTTTAAGTTGAGAAGGGTGGAGATGACTGGAGAGGGAAAGGACGGTTGGTCTGTCGTTGAAATGTGGTGAGGAGACAGGGCCATAGAACAGCTCTGAGGGAGCCTGAGCATCCACTGTCTGAGATGAGCCCATTGCAGAGTGCTGTTCCCTCATCAGGAGTCCAGCGTGTGAAAGCAGCAGCTACTCAAAGAGTGCAGCCCACACACACAGTAACTGGACTGAACAATGCTCTTCCCTGTCAGCCAACTGGAACTGGGAGGAGGTGAAGTTCTACTTTTCTTTAAACTGGCTCTGTAACAAGGATCATTATGCCTTAAGGTTTTCTGTTATTTTTAACATAATTGTCACACAGAAGTGTGGTTCTTCCAGCTCATTGGGCCATCACTTATTCAGTTATTTTTTATTTCATGATTATGATGATTCTGTTGTGTTAGTGTTTGATCCTGGGCCATAGCCCTTAGAGGGCACTCACTCTACCATGGGCCTATATCCCTGTCCCTGGTCAACCAGAATTTACAGTCAGTTCTGCTGTTAGTGCATGGTTATTTTATTCTCAGTCATTTAGTTTCTGTTTCATACTGAAAGGTCTGGTGTTGTTGGCTGTAATGAAACATCACTTTCTTCTTAATATGTGAGCTCCCCTTATCATATTTAAATGTTGCTTCCTTTCCTGATTGTGTGTCTGTGAACGTTTGTACCATTTGTGTTAAACTGTCAGTTGCTCTAAATACTTCGGTCTTTATACTTGAACATTTGTGTCATAAAAGAAACATTTTAAGTCCATTTTTGAGAACAAAAGATTTGATATGATTTGAAAATATGTGGTTTACATTCATTATTTTGGGTTATCCACTGTTTAGTGGTGAGGCAATTTCATGAGGTAGGAAATATGTGTGTGTGTGTGTGTGTGTGTTAGCAATGCTAAGAATTAAAGACTAACTTTTCAAAATTTTATTTATTTATTGTTTTGTATTTGAGTGTTTTGCCTGCATGTATATCTGTGTACCATCTGCATGCCCATGGAGGCCAGAAGAAGGCCTCTTGGAACTGGAGTTACACATGGTTGTTAGAAGCCATTAGGGTGCTGAAAACTGAATCCCAGGTCCTCTGAAAGAGAAGCAAGTGCTCTTAACTACTGAACCATACCGCCAAGCCTTAGGTATTTTGTTTCTAATCTATAGGGTTGCATGCTAGGATGCTTTTCCTTAAGTTATAATATTATATTTTTAAATCATTATCAGAGAAATAATAGAATCTTTCAAATAAGTTGCAGCATCACGTAGCCTTACACGTTTGCTAATGGAAGCACCTTCTAAAGTGATTTTAACCCAAACATCAAAGCAGTGCAGGCTCCCTGTTACAGTCTGTCCACACTGAGCAGTTGGAGGTCAATGAGGGTCTGGAGGAGATGGCAGCTTAAATGAGACTTAGCCCAGGCTGCTCTGGCTGATGCTGATGGAGCTGCCGTGATAGAGATGGTGGGCAATGGGAGCATCGAGGGACCCAGAGGAGGCTGTATGATCACTGTGGTGACAGCAATAGTGCTGGTTCCCACACAGCACACACTTCCCAGAGGTGACACAGGTGAGGACCAGCTCACCCCTTCTTAGCACACAAAATCCCATTGCTAGGAACTGTGTTGTAAGTAATTTTTAATTTCATTATTTGGTTTGTACATACAGCATCCACTGTATGTTCTCCACTGAGCTGTCCCTCTGGCCTTAGTGTGCTTGTTTCTAACTATAGGAGTAAAGAAAGCCTGAATTCTTTTTTTTTTTATATTTTTTAATTTATTTATTTATTAAAGATTTCTGTCTCTTCCCCGCCACTGCCACCCATTTCCCTCCCCCTTCCCCAATTAAGTCCCCCCCCCCTCAGCCCGAAGAGCAATCAGGGTTCTCTGCCCTGTGGGAAGTCCAAGGATCCCCCACCTCCATCCAGGTCTAGTAAATTGAGCAGTGAGGTAAGCCTAAATTCTTTTGAGCCACATGAAGTAGAAATCTGCAATTGTTTGCTCGCACCAGAGTTGACCTCCCCCGGCACCAGCCTCCTCTCCCACCCTGTGTCATGGATGTTTTAGTACCTGGACTGAGTCCCTCGTGGAGCACTGGGAGAAGTCTTAGCATTTTCAGGGCCTGCACTGTTGGAGCCTCAGATTGCAAAGACCTTCATTTTCAGTTTCACACATAAGCAGTCTATGTGTGTTTCATATTCTTCCAGGCACTTTGACCAAAATATAATGTTTATCTCATTAGAGAGATCTTATTAGGAAATTATATATATTAAAATAATGCACAATGTGTAGGATACTGCTTTCTCCTAATGGAATATTTTTTCTTTTTTTTTCTTCTATTTTTTGAAAGGCAATTATCACAGTCATAGTGGCTGTGTTTATGGGTACCATGTTCTATATTATAAGAGATGATTGTGGTGGAGCCTATACCAGGTAAGCAAACTTACATCCTGATTTTGAGAAAATGCTGTTACTTTGTTCAAGCTTATAGAAATCCATTAAGAATTAGAATTCATGATGAGAGCAGAGTAAATGTTTTATGATATGGTAGAGTGTGCGTTGAAGCCTGAATGGGCAAACCCAACTTTTCACGTGTTTGTGTGTAAAGAGTAGGAAAGTAGACACACCACACATTTCACATTTTACCCGTTTTAGTGTGTGGAGTAGCATCATATTATGCAACTATCGCCACACTTGAAATATAGGTCATTTTTCATCTTCCCAAAAGGAATCCCATACCTTGAAACAAGACTCCTCATACTACCCATTTCTGATTGCTGATGTCAACCATTCTATTTTCTGTCTTTGAAATTAGTTCTGTGGGAACCCAGATTGGAGTCACACAGTATCTCTCTTTTTGTGTTATTTGGTTTTGTACTTCTTTATTTTGGCTGGTTTGTTTTCATTAGTGCAATGTCCTCGGGGCTCATCAAAGTGTGGTATGTATGTGTGTGTAGATTTCTTGGGCTCTGGAAGGCAAAATAATATTTCATTGTGTGAATATGCTGTGCTATTTCCTATTCATCTGTGATTGCAAATGTGGTTTGGTCTCAACTTTGGCTACTATGAACCATGCTTCTAAGTGTGCAAGTATACCTGTTTGAGCCCTGGACATTTGTTATTTAAGGTAGAAAGCAAGAGCTGCCAAATCATAGGCCATTGGGTTAATTGTTTGAGGAGCTGCTGTCCTGTCTCCAACTCGACTGTCCTATTTTATATCCTCACCAGCACAACACGAGGGCTCCAATATGTCCACATCCTCACGCTTTCTTGGTCTGAATATCTTATTTTTTATTTTTTTATTACTTTATAAATAATACCAATCAAAATTTCCACTTCCTCCCCTCCTCCCACTTCCCTCCTGCTCCCCCACTCACCCTCCTTTCTTCCCTTCTAGTCCTAAGAGAGGGCAGGGTACCCTGCACTGTGGGAAGTCCAACACCCTCCCCCCTCAATCCAGGCTTAGGAAGGTATGCATCCAAATAGAATAGGATCCCCAAACGCTAGTACATGCAGTAGAGACAAATCAGTGCCATTATCATTGGCTTCTCAGTCTTCCCCCATTGTCAGCCACATTCAGAAGGTCCAGTTTGATTCCATGCTCCTTCAGTCCCAGTCCAGCTGGATCTGGTGAGCTCCCTTTACCTTAGGCACACTGTCTCTGTGGGTGGACCAACCCCTCGTGATTCTGACTTCCTTGTTCATATTCTCCCTCCTTCTGCTCTTCAAATGGACCTTAGGAGCCCAGTCCAGTAATCCTATGTGGGTCTCTGTCTCTATCTCCATCCGTCACTGGACGAAGGTTCTATAGTTATATTCAAGATAGTCATCAGTCTGACTATTGGACCAAGGCTAGTTCAGGCACCCTCTCTTCCACTGCCCAGGGTCCTAGGTGGAATCATCCCCATGTACTTCTGGGAACGCCCCCAGAGCCAAGCCTCTTGCTAAACCCCAAATGGCTCCCTCAATTAAGATATCTCCTTCCCTGCTCCCATATCCATCCTTCCTCCATCTCAACCATACCACTCCCCCAAGCTCTCCTCAGCCATCCCCTTCTTCCTTCTCTCTTCCCCTCTCTTTCCTCCACCACACTTCCATGCTCCCAACTTTTGCCTGGTGATGTTGTCTGTTTCCAATTTCCAGGAGGATCTACATATGTTTTTTTTTTGGGTTCACCTTATTACTTAGCTTCTCTAGGATCGTGAACTATAGGCTCAAGGTCCTTTGTTTATGGCTAGAATCCACTTATGAGTGAGTACATATCATACTCATATTTTTGGGTCTGGGTTATCTCAGGATAGTGTTTTCTATTTCTATCCATTTGCATGCAAAATTCAAGATGTCATTTTTTTTTTCGCTGAGTAGTATTCTAATGTGTAGATGTGCCACACTTTTTTTATCCATTCTTCCATTGAGGGGCATCTATGTTGTTTCCAGGTTCTGACTATTACATATAATGCTGCTATGAACATAGTTGAACAAATGCTTTTGTAGTATGATTGGGCATTTCTTGGGTATATTCCCAAGAGTGTTATTGCTGGATCCTGAGGTAGGTTAACTCCCAATTTTCTGAGAAAGCAACACACTGATTTCCAAAGTGATTGTACAAGTTTGCATTCCCACCAGTAATGGATGAGTGTTCCCCTTACTCTACATTCTCTCCAGCATAGGCTATTGGTGTTTTTGATTTTAGCCATTCTCACAGGTGTAAGATGGTATCTCAAAGTTGTTTTGATTTCCATTTCCCTGATAGCTAGTAAAGTTGAACATGTCTTTAAGTATCTTTTGGCCTTTTGAAACTCTTCTGCTGAAAATTCTCTGTTCAGTTCGGTACCCCATTTTGTAAAATTGGGTTATTTCTGTAAAGCAAAGGACACAGTCATTAAGACAAAAAGGCAACCTACTGAATGGGAAAAGATCTTCACCAACCCCATATCAGACAAAGGTCTGATCTCTAAAATATATAAAAAACTCAAGAAACTAGACATTAACAATTTTAAATAACCCAATTAAAATGGTTTGAATATCTTATTCAAAGATAGCAATGAAAAAAATAAATCACAATCTATTGAATATTCTATAAAGAGCCTGTTGAACCCATTTTCCCATTTTAAGTTTGAATGCTTTCTTTTCATTCCACAAATATTTATTTGTTTACTTAGTATGTGCACATATGAGGTCATGCATTTGCTACTGCATGCATGTGGAGGTCAGAGGAAAATTGAGAAGAGCAGATCCTTCCAGCACATGGGTTTCAGGCATTGTACTCAAGGGCATTATGCTTGAAAGCAGTCATCTTACGTGCTGAACCATCTCACTGGCCTTTAATTTTTCCTTGCTATTAAGTTATAGTTATTTTGGTTTCTGAGATGTGAGTCCCCCACCAGATACATACATGATCTACAGATATTTCCTCCCTCTGTGTGTTGCCTTTTTATTCTGTTTATAATGCCTTGGCACATAAATGCTTTTAGCGTACTCTGCTTATCCTTTTGTTGCCCTGGTGCCAATTTTTTTGAATATATTAGGTTTATTTGAATGTGAGTGTGGATGATAGAATGGGACTGTCTTTCCTGACTTGTCTTCCAGATCATCACCCTTTTGGCTCTTGTCTAGTTTGAACTACAATGTGTCTTTAAAGATATGCTTTCATGTTAAAACTTTTCAAGGACTACAGCATGTTCCAAACATAGCTTCTCAGCAGGATGACAATTTTCAGAATTTTCACTGTAATTTATGTGAGGCACACTACTCTTTGTTCAACTGGGCTCCCTGCTTAACACCCACAGCCTCAGGATACCACCCAATGGCCAGAGAATTTTTACCATGAAAGTTCTGTTGACTTGATTTTCGTGTGAATGTGTGTGTGTTAGTGTATATGTGTGTATGTGTGTTAGTGTGTGTGAAGTATGTATGTTGTGTGTTATATGTCCAGGTTTGTGTGGCATACACTCATGATTAGGTACACATGTCCATGTTGTTGAATGTGCAGGTGTCTGCACGTGGAGGTCAGAGGTTGATGGCGGGTTTTCCTTGATGTCCCTCTACTTCCTTTTTCAAGGCAGATCCCTCACTGAACCTAGAGATCATTTACTTGACTAGGCTGGCTGATGAGCTCTAAGCATCCACCTCTGTACCCTTCATCATTGGGGTTACAGATGAGAAGTGCTGTGCCTAGGTAGTTTTATTTGGGTCCTAGGCATCTGAAATCAGGTCATTTTGGCTAAATGGCAGACGCTTTGCTAAACGGGCCACCTTTCAGCTCCATAAGTCTGTTTTGATATATGGAAAGCAATAACCAGTTTTGAAAGATAGAATACACATAAAAATCAGTTCTGTGGATTCCTTATGTGTGGATCAAACAATAATCTGCAGTGAGATGATCATTGCAGCTATTCAGTCTGTCTGCTTTTCATCATCCCTGAAGGCAAGGATCTAAAAGCTTTCCTGGCGTAGCCATATCTCGTGAGAATGGCAAAGGTCCTAATGCTAGCAGAGCTGCTTGACAAAGATCCAACAAAGCTGAGCCACATGGGTGACACTGTTCCATTTCTGTTTGTGATCTCTATGTGCTGTATGCTTGGGGAACTTTAATATGTGTACAATTTGGGGATATTGTGTAGATGGAAATTTTCTTATGAATCAATTCCTTCTCCCAGTTGTACTGACTGTGCCTCAGCAGCCTCTGCCTACCATCTCCTTGCCACTGAGGTCTCATCCCAGGAGGGGCCTTTGTGTCTTATATTTTTTTATAAGAAGTTGGACTGTGTGACAATGGCCTTTGTGTATGGTTTATTCCAGTCTTCCTGATTAATGGTTGATCCTTTTAGATAGTGTCCTGGTTAGGTTTGTTTTTGTCAACTTCACATCAGCCAGAGTCATGTGGGAAGAAGAAACCTTGATTAAGAAAATGCATCTATTAGGGTGGCTTGTGGGAAAGAAAGGCTGTGGGGCATTATCTTGATTAATGATGGATGTGGGAGGGGCCAGCCCACTGACAGTGGTGCAACCCCTGGGCAGGTGGTTCTGAGTTTAATAAGAAAGCAGGCTGAGCTAGCCATGAGGAGCACTCTCCTAAGGCCCCAGCCTCTATCCCTGCCTCCACGGTCCTGCCGTGAATTCCTGTGTGACATTCCTTGGGAATGGACTGTGACCTGGGATATGTAAGCCAAATAAATCCTATTTTCCCTATGTCTCTTTCAATCAGGGTGTTCATCACAGCAACAGAAACCTAAGTAGCATAGCTCTAAACACTTCCTCAACAGGCTCTGTGGAATAAAGCTATTAAATTACTTTCTATGGTGATATTTAACATATTCATCAATCTGATTACAGGGTAAGGCCAGTTCGGGCAACCTTTCCACTATTGTTTATGGTCTTAGCTGGGGTTATCCATGTGGATTCCTGGGAATTTCTCTAGTGCCAGGTTTCTTGCTAGCCCCATAATGGCTCCCTCAATCAAAATGTCTCTCTCCTTGCTCTCATCTCTGTCCGTCCTCCATCTTGACTATCCCATTCCCTCAAGTTATTCTACCCACTCCCCTTCTTCTCTCCTCTTTCCTATCTATCCTCCCTTCTCTCCCCACCCTCATGCTCCTAATTTTGTCAGGAGATCTTGTCCATTTCTACTTTCCAGGGGGACCTATATATGTTTTTCTTAAGGTTCACTTTGTTACTTAGCTTCTCTAGGGTCATGGACTATAGGTTCATTATCCTTTGCTTTATAGCTAGTATCCAGTTATGAGTGAGTACATACAATGTTCATCTTTCTGGGTCTGGGTTACCTCACTTAAGATTTTTTTCTAGTTCTATCCATTTGCATGCAAATTTCAAGATGTCTTGAAATTGCTTTTTACCTCTGAGGAGTACTCTAATGTGTAATGTGTCACATTTTCTTTATCCATTCTTTGGCTGAGGGAGATCTAGGCTGTTTCCAGGTTCTGACTATTACAAATAATGCTGCTATGAAAATAGTAGAACAAATGTCCTTGTAGTATGATTGAGCATCCTTTGGGTATATTCCCAAGAGTGGTATTGCTAGATCCTGAGGTAGGTGGATTCCCAATTTTCTGAGAAACTGCCATACTGATTTCCAGAGTGATTGTACGAGTTTGCATTCCCACCAGTAATAGAGGAGTGTTTTTCTTACTCCATATCCTCTCCAGCATGAGCTATCATTAGTGTTTTTGATCTTAGCCATTCTGACTGGTGCAGGATGGTATCTCAGTGTTGTTTTGGTTTGCATTTGCCCTATGGCTAAGGATGTTGAACATTTCATTAAGTGCCTTTCAGCCATCTGAGACTTTTCTGTTGAGAATTCTCTTTTTAGTTCTTCACCCAATATCACCATAGAATTTTCATTCAGCAACCAATGAAAACAGAGACAGAGACCTGCAGCAGAGCACTGGGCTGAGCTCCCAAAGTACAGTTGAAGATTGGGAGGAGTGAGAATATGATCAAAGAGATCAAGACCATGATGGGGACACTCACTGAAACAGTTTACTTGAGCTAATGGGAACTCACCAGCTCCAGCCAGACAGGGAAGGAGCCTGCATAGGTCCAAACTTGTCCCTCTGAATGTGGGTGGCAGTTGGATGACTGAGGCAGACTGTGAGGTCACTGGCAGTGGCACCAAGATTTATTCCTACTGCTTCTACTGGCTTTATTCCCATAAATCTTCTCTTTGGATGGATACCTTGCTCAGCCCAGATATAGTAGGGAGGGCCTTGGACCTTCCCCCAAACAATGTGCCCTACCCTCTCTTAGGAGTGAATAGAGGATGAGGTAGGGGATATGTGGAGGAAATAGGAGGAGAAGAAGGAGTGGGAACTGGGATTGGTATGTTAAATGAAAAAAAGATAGTTTGTTTTATTTTTAAAAAAAATAAATTAAATTAAAAATAAACCAGTGAGTGATAAAGTGATAAAAAAATTACTTTCAGGGTCAATATTAGTATTTTCATCGTCAGCAATATTCCAGAGTCCAAAAGATACTTCTCTTGTTTTGATCCAGCATTACCTTTTCACTTTGTCCAACCTGTGTAACTAGTAACTAGGTTTCAATTTTGTGATGTATGAGTTCCTTTGTCTCAGAAGCATTGTAGGGTTGAGGCAGCCAAATATTAAGGAAATGACATCACAGGAAATAATTAGACCTAGAAATTTATTCTGTGCCTATTTACAAACACAATTTTCCCCAAATGCATGTGAAGTCTGGTATTCATTGGAGCCCGATGCACAGTAATCAAGTGATGGAACTTAAGTGTCTACCAGCAGAAAGCTGGTACAAAAAATGTGACTTGTAATGCGGCTGATTTTCAAAATAAGATTTTATGACAACATGGATAAAACTGAAGATTTGAGGAACATCATGCAAAGTAAAATAATCTAAACACAGAAAGACAAATGTGTTTCACTTCCCTGTGGATTATGAAGCAATTGCCCTCCTGGAAACAGGGGATAAAGTGATGATGGGCAGAGGCAGTGTGGAGAGAAGACACGAGTATGGGCAAGGAGAACAGTATTAGTTACACAGGAGAATAGGATGCTTTTCCTTTGAGATAAATTGTACAGCACATTCAATTCAGAAAATATAATACACATTTCAAGGTTTCTGAGAATATATTTCTGATACATTTTTATGAAAATGATGTATATTTGTAGTGATGAACATCACCTAATATAGTTTTATATAATTATTTTACAAAACTGCTCATGAATCATGTTAGTTTATACCTTCAATATGTGGTCATAGGTTGTCAATCTATAATTATAAAATTTAAAATAACAGATAAGTATTTAGACGTGACATTTATGGTTAAGTGTAGCCAGGGTCACAAATTCCCCTTCTAAGTTCTTGGTTTTATTGATAAACATACATGAGAGTAAACCCAGATGGGAACTTGAGGACAATTTATTGGAGGCAGACAGAGGGAGAATTCCATGAACACTAAGGGAAGGGTGTGTATGGGCGTGTAAGAGTGGCGAGGAAGAGAGTTGTGCATCTAGTAGAGCAGAGCCTTGAAAGCAAGACTGGCTCATTAGGAGGGGAGGAGAAACCCAGGTCCTCTGCTCTATTGCTGGGCACATGGTGCTCAGCTCCTCCACACTATGGTTGGTCACGTGGTCCTCTGGTCCTCTGTCCTTGTTTGGTCCTTTGAGGCAGGGACACAACTGTGACCTGACAGGCCCAGACCTTGTCATGCAGCCCAAGCTGGCCTCAGTCTGCAGCAATTCTTTCCAATACTGCTTCTTTATTGTCATTTTTAAAAAATAAATTTATATGATTTTATTTAATCTATAGAAAGCTCTGTTGTAAAGAAGCCATTCCAATGTTGAATTTTCTGTTTGATTTTCCTCTATTTTCTTTCTGCAGATCTGTCATGCTCTTCTTGCTTACAAGTGTTGAGTGTATCACAGGCACGTCTGCAGGGGAGCTCTTCATGATTGACAGGGATCGCTTTGTGTAAGTAGCCCCTGCTCCAGAGGCAGGCTTAAGGTCATGGTGACCAAGCTAATTATATTCATAGTTGGGCTTGGATGTTATCACATGAAATACTAGTATTTTTCCATTTTATTATTTGTTTAGTTGAAAAGTAAACAAATTATGAAAGTTTGTGTTCATTATTGTTGTGGCCCCAGGCGTTTTGAAGCATGTAAAGAGATTACTAATATTAATGAAAAGCTGAATGGGAAATCAAGAACAAAAGTGTCTGATGCTCTGTGAAAGTTTCAAATTTTGGGTGTGGTCACCAGATCTCAGTGCTGCAGACACAGTAGTAGGGGCTGAGAATCACTGGAAGGTCCGGAAACCTCAGGGGTTTCATTGAGCTTAAGTGTACTGAGTTCAGCAGCACATTGGAGTGAGAGTCCTCCTCTTGATGCAGTACTGGAAAGAGCCAGACAGGAGCTGAATATAAAAGAGCTGTTTATCTCCTGTGTTCCTCAAACATGCTTAGGAGTCACTCCTCTCAAAGATGGGCAAGATTTGCCCCCAAGTACATGCTGAGGAGGGGAGTCATCAAAGAGGAACTGAGGGCCTTGCTTGAAACATGATTAATAAAAACTCAGACTAAAATTGGGGTTCAACCTAAAGACCAAAAAGTAAAGCAGCCAACGTCTGGCTCTTACCTTGACCTCAGTCCAAAATGTCGATCATGCCTCCAGGAATCTCAGAATGAGACTGTGTTGAGTGCTGTTTCCTCCCATTTTATAATCTTCTCTAGGGCTGGGATTAAAGGTGTGCACCACTGTGATTAAAGACATGCACTGCCTGGTTTCTATGGCAACCAGTGTAGCCATTGAGATTAAAGGTGTGTGTTACCACTGTCTGGTGTAAGGCTGATAGGGGGGTGCTGTTTCACTCTCAGATCTTCAGGCAAGTTTTGTTTAGTAAATACAATTGAAATGCCACTACATTTCCCCTTTTTGTCTAAAGTCAAAAGAAAGCTATAATATAAGAAAACAAAATACAATAAGTACAATGACTATATACAATATACACAGGCAATAAATATATCAACAATGTCTAGTCCATTTGCATTTGACAAATTTAGAGAAAATACTTTAAATCTATCCTATCTTGGTGAGTCCAAAGTGTTGTACCTAATTTACTTTCTATAATAACTTGCTTTCTGTGTCTATAACCTATTCTAATCTAATAACCTAATCTAATCTTCAACTATCTCAGAGACCCAAGAAGAAAATAATATTAACTGAACAAACAGAAAGTGCAAGCATGTGACTTCCACAAAATATGTGAATAATGACAGAAACAGCTGACTTTCTGGACAGTCACCCAAAATTCCTCTGCAACAATAGGGTATCTCCATTTTCAGCCTATAGGCCTAACAGATCCAACAGATCTTTCTGCGAAGCAGGACATTCTGAAGGGCTGTCCCTCTTGGTCTTGACAACGTTTGGCAGTTACTTTCTTTCCTGTCCTGCTTATCCAATTAGGAAAGCATGCTGTCAGCAGATGAGGCAAGGACATTTTCTTGCCCAGTGTCTTATTTTTGTCACAAAGAAAGCAAACTCCATGTGGAATTTCTTCAATGCCCATTATCTTCTCTGAAGTAGAAGATTGCTGCTGCCAGGAGCAGATAGATATCACTGTCATAAAAAGAAGAGCCTAGGTTATTAAAATATTTAAATTTCATATTCTGTAGAGCTCTGAAGTGTTTGAAGAAGACCTATCTATCTAAAATATATCTATGTTTTAGCATGAAAAGATACCATATGTGACTATAAGTTCAATTGTTGTAGGTGATGAACTACTAACCGTATCTCCTATTATCCTAAATAGTTGGTAATAATAATTTTCAAAGACTATAAATTTGCATACATTGTTAAATGAGCTGTACAGTATAATACCTTGAAGAAGTTTAGAAATGTATAAGATACTGATTGCTTAATATCTTTCAGATCTTTCATACATATAAATTCCCATTTATATTCTGTATATCTTTTTGGGTATTGAGTATTTGCTGGCTTTTCAGAGGTAATAACAGGATAAGTTATAGCTAAATCTTTTGGTATGTCATTTCTGACTCTGAGAGGTATTGGCAATACTAAATATCTAAAATTATCTTTTGTATGTAACTCCTCTCCTTCCTTATCAGTTCTGATAAGTTTCTCAACAAACTCAAATCTTTTTGTTACTGTCTTTTGTAAGGTCTGAACCTCTTGACCTGTGACTATTTCTAATTATTTCTTCAAATCAATTACTTTCTGATTCTCATTATGATAATGTGACTCCAAGTTTTAAAATTTTTCCATTAGTGATATCTTCTCATCCTTAGAGATTATTTGGATGGTACATAGATTTCCTTCTAGGAGGGATGTTCTATCTGCTAGCTTGTCATAACGTTTAACAGATTTTGATTGTCAATTTCAACAATATGTATTCTTTCAGATAATCTCTCAGTACCATTTTGTAAGGTTTTCATCACCCATTGACATGGATTGAATTTTCCCTTTCAAATTATGTTCATGATTTTTAATCGTATGAATCCTTTCAGCCAACTTCTCATTATTAGTCTGTAAAGTTGTATCATTTTTTTAAAGTTTCTCATTCTTGACTCTGTTATTGAACAATTTCCTTAAAGATATAATATTAATAATCAAATTGATGACAGTTATGGCTAATAAGGTAGAAGTCCCAGGTAGGTTATTAATTCTATCCATAACAGAAATGCAAAGGTTATTAAATTCTTAGATGATTATAATATCTGCCATTATTTTAGGAGTGGTTTACAAAAAAATTATAGTTGTCTTTATATATATGTTTTGCCTCTGTTAAAATTCTGGTTTACCTGAGACTTTTAAGGTGTAATAAAAATGTGGGCCAGCAGCTGGACTGCGACCGAAAAAGCATGGGATAAAACCGGACTCTCTGAACATGGCGAACAATGAGGGCTGATGAGACACCAAGGACAATGGCAGGGGGTTTTGATCCTACTTAATGTGCTGGCTTTGTGGGAGCCTAGCCAGTTTGGATGTTCACCTTCCTAGATATGGACGGAGGGGGGAGGACCTAGGACTTAACACAGGGCAGGGAACCCGGACTGCTCTGTGGACTGGAGAGGGAGGGGGAGAGGAGTGGGGGGAGGGGGAAAAGGGTGGGAGGAGGGGGAGAAGGGTGGGAGGAGGGGGAGAGGGGTGGGAGGAGGGGAAGGGAGGTGGGAGGCTGGGAGGAGGTGGAGACTTGTTTTTTGTTTATGTTTTTTTTTCTTCTTTTCGCAATAAAAAAAAAATGTGGGCCAGAAAAACCTATGGATTTTCTAAGCAGAACTCAAAACCAAAATTGAATGGAATTTTGGTAAAGAGATGCTGCTCGGGGCAGCTGTGCAGCAGTAGCATATAAGAACCATGGGAAGTGGGAAACCGCAGTAGCCATGTAGGAGCTGCATGCATATGGGACTGGTGGAAAGCTGCAGAACTGCAGAAGTCACAGGAAGCTACATGGGGCTTAGGAAAACCACGTGGGGGGCCCGTGGGGGGCCCAGTATGAGAGGAAGCAGAGCTGGGGTAGATGGGAGTGCTAATGCTTCTCACAAACCCAGATGGCTAGGTTTGGGTTCCAATTTCCAAAGCTGGAATTCCAATCCCAGGCCTGGCATGGGCTGGTGGCTAAAAAGCCTCAGGCATATGTTTTTTTTTTTTGGTGTGTATGTTTGTAAATTTGTGCCTATGTTGGGTACCTTAATGAAGCATGATTAATAAAAGTTCAGAGACTTAATTTTGGGTTCAACCTGAAGAGCAAAAGGTAAAGCAGCCAGCCACTGGTTATTACCTTGACCTCAGTCCAAAATGGCAATCCTGCCTCAAAGAATCTCAGAATGAGACTGTGTTGAGAGCCATTTCCTCTTGTTTTATAATCCTATCTAGGGCTGGGATTAAAGGCATTTCGATGGCAACCAGTGTGGCCACTGGGATTAAAGTTGTGTGTTGCCACTACCTGGTGTAAAACTGATCAGTGGAACTGTTTTACTCTCAGATCTTCTGGAAAGCTTTATTTACTAAAATACAATTGCAATGCCACTACTCTTGCTCAGTTGGTACAGTGCATAAAATCCCATTTTGGAGTCACAGAATCACAAAACCCTGAGTATGACTTTATTTCTGTAATCCCAGCACTTGTGGACAGGATAGAGGCAGGAGGATGGTCATTGTTGGCTACATATGGAGTTTGAGTCCAGCCTGCACTCGTGGTCTATTCTCAAAAAGGAAAATCAGGGCTACAATGAAGACACTAGGAGTGGAAGACCATGGAATGGCGTAGAGAAAGATATCAGGAAGGGAAGATAGATTTGGTACTGGTAAGGATTCATGGTTGAAAAGTGAGATTATTGAAGGAATAAATCTGCCCCAAGTGAGAGCAGCAGAAGAGAAGGATGTAGTGTCCTGAAGCTGCACTGTGACCTCAGAGTGACAGTGTCACCTTCTTCATAAGAACTGGAAGGAGAGGAGTTTCCATGACTGCCGTGCACCCCCCCCCCCCTGCTGCCGCTCTCTGAGCGCTAGCTTCAGGCAAGGGGTTGGGGGCTGAGGAAACACACGCAGAGACACACCAGCAAAAGAACCTCTAATCGCTGGTACAAAAGCCCTTCTTTAATAACACCATGGAGGCTTAAATACCCTGCAGTCAATGGCCAACAGGTGAAAATCCCATCCTCTGATCCTCTAGGCGAGGCACAGCTTCTAGTAACTTCAATTAGAAGGCTCTAGACAGGGAAGAGCAGCTGGAGGCCAGGACTCAATTGGTCCCAACACATGTCTATGGTCTGAGGTGAGGTATGAATGAGCTGCTCCTCAGGGAGCCAGGGGTCAGCTTCAGAGGGCAGAGACTCTGAGGAGAGTGGGCACATTGGGCTGTTTCCTTGGAGGGGCTGTTGTGTGGCCAGAGTGGACTAAAGAGGGGAGAGTTCTCTGGTGGGTAGAATCATAGTGAGAATTTTATAATGATGATGGCTTAGAGATGCTGGTACCGAAGATGGGGACAGGTATGGGAGTCACCCTGTGCAGTAGGGAACACTGTCCTGTTAGGCTCCCTGTGGCAGCAGAAGTCAGTTTAGCCAGCATCTCCCCTGTGCCTTCTGGACTAATCTATATAAGATGTATAACATGATCTTTGTCTCTCTAGACATGAGCACACCAGTGGATACTACAGAGTGTCATCATACTTCCTTGGGAAATTGCTGGGTGAGCTGGTGCCCAGAAGGTTATTCCCAAGTATTATATTTACTGTTATAGTATTCAGCATAGCAGGTAAGTGACGAAGCAAGAGAATGTGTGTTTACTCTTGGAGGAGCGTGTTTTGGTTTGTACAACTGTGGCGAGTCTAAAGTAGAAGAGCATGTCTCCACTATGTGCCATGTAAATCAGGTGTTCAGTTCAAAAAAAGTCTCCAAGACTTGCTTTCAAAAGAACTGCAAAGCTGTTTATAAAGGTCTTATTTTACTAAGAGATCATATGTATTATCATTAATTAATTAATAACTTATACATTTGAGACAGTGTCAGTGGAGCAAGATCAGTTATTAGGTATCTATTCATATGTATTATAAAGGATTAATTTTTGCTTTATTTAGACTCTAAAATTGTTACCAGTCTCTTTGGAGATTGAAATATTATTTGAAAACTGTAAAATATCCTGGATTTCAGTAGCTGGACTAACCCCCCTTTTTTTCTTTCTAAGGAGTACGAACAGATGTGAAGGGTTTCTTCACTATGATATTTACAGTCACAATGTTGGCTTTCTGTACCAGTTCCCTGCTGCTGTCTTTAGGAGCAGGGGAGAATGCAGCAGCTGTACCAACACAACTGATCACCATATATTTTATGTTCACGGTGGTGAGTAAGAATTATTTTTTTTCTAATAGGTAATGTGTTCCTTCTTGTATATATAACCTGCTTGACACCTCAAAACATGGGACACGAGGCTTTGTGCTAAAGCTTATTATGGTCTGTAGGAGAGAAGGAGCCACCTTTCCATTAACATTTGTGGCTGCTGCTGTGGTGTCAGTCCTATGACGTGGTTGGCATGTCCTTTCTAGTGAGCTCTTAACAGACATTGCTTGGGATCATATTACAAAGCCATAAAAATTGGAGTGGTGTGATTGGCTGATTGCCCCACAACAAGACAGATTGCTGCCTTCCTTTCTTGCTGGTTGAGAGAATTGCCAACTCTTATAACCACAGCAGATATGATTTGGTTTATCCAGAAGTCTCTGGTGGGAAAGCCAAGGTCATGGTCAGTGTAATTGTTGAGTACAAGGCATCTATCTCAGGGTTCACTTGTTCTGAAAAATGACAGAAATAGTGGAAGGTTCCAGCCAGACTTCTAAGTACTAACCAGTCTCCTGAATTAGCACACTTCTGCTCATCTGTCTGTAATTGGTTACTCAGTCTTAGTCTTTCATGCCCATGAATTACACACTGAATGTAAATGAATCAATTGATAAATGCAACCAGATTCCACATTTTTTAAAAAAACATATCAAGTAAGTAGAACGATTAATGTAGCATATTAATTGTTCACGTATTTCTGTTAGTGCAGGAACATGCTATTGCTTGGCAATGGCAGATGCATTCCATTGAGAAAATGCAAAAATTTGTTCTTATTCTTATTTATATGGTCATAAATGTATGACCATCCTCTAATGTAAACTTTCAACAAATACGTTATTAATTAATTTTTGTTGAGAAATTCTTAAATACACATAAAGTGTTTAAATGAAGTTCATGCAATTTTCTCTCTCCCAAATTCTGCCCTGTAAAATTTTTAATGAAAAATGTCCCTTAAGGGTAAGGAACTTGAACACTTGCTTCACAGATGATGATATTGTGTGAGAGGCTCTGGAACCATTAGGAGGTAGAGACTGATGGGAAAGTCTGTCCCTGGGCAGGGGAGGGGCTGTGGGTGTCTATCCTCCTTCCTCTCTGCTTTGCATTGTAATGTGAAGATGTGAGTATTCAGCTTCCTCTCCCACTACATTGCCTGTTGCCTGTTGCCAGGCCTCCCTGCCAAGATGGCCTCTTATCTCTCTGGAAACCCAAAGCCAAAGGAACTCTCCCTTCTACAAGCTGACTTGTTGTGTTAGAGCAACAGGGAAGTAACTGCTACATTTCCTGTTGCTCTCACAATTTTACCCTCCCTGTCTCATTCTTTGTTTAGATTTTGTAAACCACTGAGTCTACCTAGCTGTGCCCATACGTGCCTGTGTGGAGAGCCATCTACTGGAGCATGGGTAGGCTCTCAGGGGCCACATTCTTAAAGAAATTTGGCTCTCCCCCTTCCAGCAATCATCACTACCAATAGCTCCTTAAGTAGGGGTAGGAGTTCATGGTTATTTCTCCCCTCCATGCAGGATTTTGTCTGTCTTGATCTTGTACAGGTGATGCCCATGTTGTCATAGCTGCTCTACACTCATATGTGTCACTGTCCTGTTGTGACAGGAAGCACTGTCTTGTTGTAGTTGTCCACTGACTCTGGCTCATACAATATCTCTAGCCTCTCTTTCATGATCCTTGAATCCTTGGGAGGAGGGTGTGATATCTAGATGTCCCATTCAGGGCTGGATCCTGTGTAGTCTCTTTTCACTCTGTGTTGACCTGTGGTGTGGCTTTGCTAATCACTGTCTCCTGCTAAAGGAACTTCTCTGATGAAAGTTTGAGATGCACTAATCTATGAGTATCACAACTCATTGGAAGTCAGTTAATACCATATCCATTTAGAAGAATAACAGTAGATTTTCCCCTGGAACCTATGACCCCGCTAACCACAACATCAGACAGGATTTACATTATTCCAGTCCCAGGAAACCAGTCTCAGGCTAAATCTCAAAGAGAAACCCACAGCATCGCAAATAACTTAGACCTCTTCTATCTAAGGTCTTTTTAAGGGAAGTTTAAAAACTCATGCATACTCTTGGTGGTTACTTGTCTTTATTTTCTCAGGTTGGCCCCTCTTGCTCTTACATTCATTTTGTTCTTTCTCGTCGATCCTTGAATTACTACATTGCTTTGCCTTCTGTATTTCTTATAGTTTTATATCCAAGCCAACAATTTCAGGCAGTATAAGAGTCATGAAAAGTCACATTCCAAACATAAAGACTATGCATATCTTCTAATTATCCAAGAACACCTGCAGCCCTCATTTGTGGCTACAGAGTAAAGTTATCTTCTGTAGCCTTGATTTGTCTGAATTTATTATTGAAACTTGAGGTCAGAAATGGGTGAAAGGAATTAATCATTTGCTTGCTGGCAATCACTTGGCTTTTTTTGTATTTACAACTGAGCCTGATCCTACAACTATGTGTTGTTACTTATCTAGGATACTTGATTTTAAAAACCATTAACAAGATATCTGGTCTAGTCTAATGCTTTCTTGAAGCTAGTACCACCTAATGATTACACAACCAACCCATAACTGCAATTCTCAGCATAAAGATTAAATGAATTTGAACCAGTATGACTCAGAGAAACCTTGTTTCAAACAAAGCAAAACAAAACCACCCTCTGTTGAAAAAAGATTCCTTCAGATTCACTTGTAGGCAAGTCTAGGGAGGAAGTGTTCTTTTCTTAATGATTGATGTGGAAAGTCCCAGCCCACTGTGGACAACACTACAGTAGGAAGGTCATCCAGGCTGTAGAAGCCATGATGAGTAAGACATTAAGCACCATTCTTCCATGATCTCTGCTTCAGCTCCTGCCTCCAGGTTCCTCCCTTGAGTTTCCATGTTGAGTTCTCTTAATGATAGACTGTGGTCATGACGGGAAAGCCAAATAAACCCCCTTTCCCCCATACTTTTGCTCATGGTATCACAACAATAGAAACCAAATTTAGCTAGAATCTATACAGGTGTGTATCAGTCCAGTATGAGTGTTAATGAACTTGCCAAAAGAAAAAAAAGAGTATGGATATAATTAAAAACCCACATGGGAGATCTGAACTGAACCCCTTTGAAGGAATCCAGATGGACTTCTACAAATTCCACAGAAACAAAGAAACTAAACAACAAACAAATACTTTAATGTGCACTGGTAGGGTTCCAGTTCCTCCTCAGATGAATAGGTACGAATGTTGCATGTCTCCAGTCTTAGGGAGTCCACCGCACTTACCACCAGCGAAACTAAAATCAATTTCTCATCAACTGTGTTGAGGATTACTCCTCCACTTTACTTTCTCTTAGGTTACAGAATTTTCACCCAGAATCCTCTGCTAAAATTTCCAGCCCTTGTTTTTCTCCTTGAGAACCAAATATTGCTAAAAGACAAAAAAAAAAAAAAAAGACATAAAACAAGTTCAGAAGAACCTAGGCGACCCATTTCCTGTGATGTTAACTAAGAACACAGTTCAGAAGGTTAAGGAGGTGGGACTCATTCCAGCCAAGTGAAAGTGTGCTGAAATAATTGTCCCAGGGAAATGGAACGTCATATTAAAAGTCTTGTTTATTATTTTAATGTGATAAAAACACTTGTTAATGTAACAAAAACAGCTTTCCTAACAGTTTGTTTTGATGAGTGTCTAGTCTTAACCTTACCTAGGAAACAAAATATACCTACAAACAAATAAAAAATAGAAAGCTTTTTCTGGTGGACAAGTACATGTGTCCCAAGTTGTTCCATTTGGATCATCCAGGCAGTCTTTAAAATTAATTCCCAAAGGACTCTATCAATCCCTCATAACCTAAAGGACATGGAGTTGGTAGCATTCACTCTGCTTTTACCTTTGCTAAATGTGCTTATAAAACACACGTAGAGACCTGAATACTTGGGTAAACTGTACAGTGCATGTGCCCAAGGAGTGACAGCTACACCTGTGAGGGAAGACATGCCCAGACTCAAGTATCCTTTCCTCTGAGTGGAGTAGCATGTTGCCCTCTTTATGAGACATGGGTGGTTACTTTTGCCAGAGTTTATCACTCTTGTTCTGATGTAGGAGGGTCATCTGTCTATGTGTTACTTTCATTGGTTAATTAATAAAGAAACTGCTTGGCCTGATAGGTCAGAACATAGGTGGGTGGAGTAGACAGAACAGAATGCTGGGAAGAAGGGAAGTGAGTCAGACGCCATGATTCTTTGACCTGAGATGAATGTAGGCTAAAATCTTTCCCGGTAAACCATCACTTTGTGGTGCTACACAGATTATTAGAAATGGGTTAATCAAGACATGAGAATTAGCCGATAAGAGGCTAGAACTAATGGGCCAGGCAGTATTTAAAAGAATACAGTTTTTGTGTTATTATTTCTGGGGCTAAGCTAGCTATGTGGAAGCGCCCACTGAAAACCTCTTATTCCTAGTGCTACTGAGGGATGGATTCTCTCATCAATTGGTAATGATACATCTGACAGGTTTATTCTTAATGTTCAGGATTGTTTCCATGTGAAATTTAGTATTTTTTTCAATTTATGTAAATTTTATTGGAATTTTGATGGGGATTGCACTGAATCTGTTGATTGCTTTAGTTAGGATGGATACTTTCCTATTTACCCTATGAATCTATAAGCATAAAGGTCTGTCTATCTTCTTGTATCTTCAATTGTTTATCCATATCTTAATTTTTCTCTTGTACAATTATTTTATTTATTTAGATTTATTGTAATATATTTCCTCTCTTTCCCTCCTCCCGTTTTGAGGTTACTGTGAATGAGACCAATTCCCTCATTTTGTTACCATTATGTTTGTAATTTATACTTGGAAAAACTCCTGACTTTTCTCTGTCATGGTGTTTTATCACCGTCACAGGGAAAAAAACTAAGATAGCTGGTTATTGTATAAACTCACTGGACTGGTTCTAATGTGTGGTTTTGCTCTTTGTAGTTTATCACAGGTCTGTCACTATTTTCTATAAACTTCATGCACGACCTCTCCTGGCTTTACTACTTTAGCATTCCACATTATGGATTTACAGTAAGTTGTCTGTCTGTAACTGTGCTTGGGTTCTCCAACTGTAGCAAATGAAATGATTCCCAACCAAGTCCTTTCCTCAGCTGTAATCTCTAACCAGCTGCTGCCCAGGGGTTTACTTGCAGGAGCAAAAAATGAGAACTTTCCTCTTGGTTTTATAGCCAAAGGTGAGTGAGTCATCTCGGGATTTCCCCTGGTCATGTGTTATTTAAGGGAAATAAAGGGTGAGAGTAAATGGGAGAGGCAGATGATATGATAAAAAGCTTATAGTTGAGATGCTACTCAATAAGGAAATAACTAAAGGGTCAGGTACTAAGATATATAATTTAGATAATAAAAGAAACGGAAACTATGTGATAGCAGAGCCATATTGACTTTCACAACTGGTTTTGATGAAAATAAGCAAGAATATATTGTTGCTATAAATCAGTAGTACTGTTTCAATTATGTTGTTTATGGGGTTATGGACTTGGCAGAGAGGGAGGATCCTGCAGTAGTTTAGGTAGGGAGTTCACATCTTAGTAGTTGGAAACCCCATCATTTTAATCTTGAAACTCCTCAGTGTGGGGAGGGACACTAAATTTGCTAGACAGACTGAACTAAGTTCTTTGTCTAAAAATATTTTGGAAATTACTGTCAAGTTTGAACTTAAAGTTATAACTGTATTTATTCTTTGGAAACTTATGGAAATGTTAAACTATTTGCCTTTCCCTGTTCTTGTTTGTGTTATAGGCTTTGCTACACAATGAAGTCCTGGGACAAAACTTCTGTCCAGAACACAGAATGGTAGAAATCAATAAATGTCACAACTTTGTAATGTAAGCTTCAGTTCAGTGTAGCGATGGGGACACATAATGCTCCTAGACTTAGAGAGGAAACCCATCCTTTCAGGGTTAACACTCTGCTCTCTGCCCATTCCCCAGAGTGAGTCATGGTAACCAATGCACAGGTGGCTGTGTTTCCATCCTACTGTTCCATGTGTAGATAATGTGCAGAAAGAATTTTTTGGCCCTTTAAAAATAGTTTTGGTATATTGATTGTGGATTTGAGTTCCTTGCTTCAGAATATTTGAGTTTGACATAGCTGCTCTGATAGTTTACAAGGGCATACAGTTTTCACATGTACAGATTATGGCACCTGTGAGCAGAGCCCAAGAATGTGAGGATAGCAAGGACCAACTGGACTTAGCTTTGCCTGGCAGCATTCAGGGTCTTCCCTCTGCCTCACACTCTAGAGTACTTTAGGAAATCAGAGGCTGGTGTGTGTGTGTGTGTGTGTGTGTGTGTGTGTGTGTGTGTGTAAAATGTCCGATCAAGACTTGTCCTGCAATGAAAAACACACATTTCACAATGTTGAGATGTCAGTGTCTAGTGTGTTGGGGTCCCTGTGTAAGGGTCTCATGCAAATCAGGACACAGGGGATGCAGAGTATGGACAACTGCATAATAAGGTTTATTTTGTATGGCATTTTATACAGACTAAAAAGCATTACCTCAACTCTGAAACCCCCCTTTACTCAAGTACATGATCATGAGAAACTCTTGCCTCACCTTGCAAGAAACAATACCTCAATTAATAACAGTAATAAAAATGAAAAGAAGTACATAGAAACAAGACAACATGTATACAGGAGCAAAGCACTCCTTAGTAACCAGTAGAGCATGAAGAACCGAGCTCAAAGGCCACTTCCCTATCCAGGGTACAGATTCCAACACAATGTTTGATAAATGGACAGAGAAAGTTTGCTTTCATCTATGCTTGGTTTGCCAAGCAACCGTTTCCCAAGTTTGTCTCATCTGTCCTAGGAGGAGCCTGCACTGTAAGCCAGTTCTGTGTCTCCACATCGAGAAGGAAATATTTTTTTTGTCTGATGCCATAAAACACCTTTACTTTCTATGATTGTTTTCTTTGATTTGATTTTGATATATAAATGAGAGAATAATATGCTGATATCTTAAATCTCTCATGAATGCTCACAATAATAATGAATAATAGTAAGCCAAATTTATGTTTGAATTACTGATAAGAAAACAAGTGTGGGGTGTTTCTTATTTCCCATGTCTCTTCTCTCCTGTCATCCTTGAAATACAAATTCCTTACCAGTGTCTGGTCAGGAAGACTTGGATGGGTAAAGTGAAACTATGGACAGCCATCAACAACAGACCTCATTCTCACAAAAGGATTGTCTTCACAAGAGGAAGGAGGAATCTGCCCTTGAAGTGGATTTTGGAACTGTTCAATCCTAAAAAATACAAGGGAATGGATAGACATAGGGATGGAGGCACACAGGGATGGAGACACACAGGAATGGAGACACACAAAGATAGAGACATACAGAGATGGAGATACACAGGAAGTATTGTAGAGTATCCATAACTTTTGGCAGCAGCTGCTTTTCTAACCTGTGTCCAGGCCCCTGCAATATTCTGTGCTCCAACTGCTACCCAGCCTCTGACTGTAGTCCTGGGTTCCTGGGGATGTTCCATAGCTGAGCATCCATAATTGTCACCATTCTCTTAGTACAGGAGCTGATAGAAACTGACTGACTTCTGTCTTAAACCCTTCTTCTCTTCTGGCCCTTGGTCTAAAATTTGATGCTGTGTTCTTTTGCATGACTGTGTGTGAGTCAGAAGACTCACACAAAGCTTTGATTTCTTAGAGCATCTGTGTGTCATTATATACCTGAGGTTTTCCACTTAAGAGAAACCAAATACTTCATCCATGCCTTTGCCCTTTGAAGAGAGCAGTATTGTAGATTTAGAAATGAATGGCACAGCTAAGTTTACTAAGCCTAAGTTTACTAAGCCTACTTCCACTGCTTTTAAATGGATGTTACAGCTATGCCTCTTGGGATGGTTTTTTTATACTAACTAAGGTACCTGATTCAAGTAGTTTAAATTGGCATAATATGTAACAAAATTGTAAGTACATCATTACTACAACCAGTTAAATATAAAAAAGAAACTGTAAATGATATGTTGGAACTATGGGTTTTTAAAATCATGTAACAGTGAATGTATAAATAAACTTTGACATTTCTTTTTTTGTGTGTTGACTAACAGATGTACTGGAGAAGAATTCTTGACAATGCGGAGCATCAGTCTCTCTTCATGGGGATTCTGGCAGAATCTTGTGGCCTTAGCTTGTATAATGAGTTTGCTCTTATCAATTACCTACGTACAATTGTTAGCTCTTAAGAAAAAGTGATATTTTAAAATCACTCTCCCATTTTCTTTGAATTATCCTTAAAAATAACAACTAAAACGTTTTTATTTTTCTGTAAACTCAGCCAAAAAAAAAAATAACCCAGAAACTGGGGTCTTAGGTTTTATAGTAAAAATTTTCTACAGTTATTTAAAGAGCTGCGGTCTCATTCTGTCCTCTAAATATTTACCTTTCTACTCATGGACACATGCTACAGCCAACATTACCCAAGAAAGATTCTGAGTGTAACGAACTGTGTTGAATGCAGAGACTCATGGATGCTCAAGGGACCAGAGTAAGTGACACTTGAGTGCTCAACTCTAACCAGGACACCTGTACTACCCCCTCTAAAGCTTAGAACTGTGCGGAAGAGGGGTATAAAGAGAAGAGAAGTCAGAAGACGAGAAGAACTCTGGGAATGCTACATTGTGGGCATGACATGGCCCTGGCAACCCTGCTCAATCTCACATCTATGGTTACCTGCACAAGACTAAGTCCCTCATCAACACAGCAAGGGTCACAGAGGGACTCAACATGACAATACTCCATTATGCTAAGCTGTTGGTTAGTGGTAGATTATAGGAGAAAGGCAATCGTTGATTTCACATGTATACTCAGAGGAGAGGCAGTTAGGCTCCAGTAGATATTCACATAGACAGCACTGGTTAAACTCTGTGGGTCTAGAGACAAAATCCAAATTTATGAATGTGGGAAACAGACTTGTAAAGAGGGTATTTAAAGGGGTTGGAAGGGAAAAAATAAAGGTGGGAGGGAGTAAGATTAGCTGGAATTCATTATATACATATATGGAATTGTCACATTTTTAAAATAAAAATTATAAATATAAAAAAGGAACTTCTTGTGTACAGTATCTAATGAAGACCTTTTCCTGTTTGGTTTCTGTTTGACTCTAAATCAGCAATGGTTATTTTTTTAAGTTCACAAAATAGTAACACACTAAATTATAATTAAAAGGGTCTAAGCACCAAGACAATGTTATTAAGTATTACATGTTAGCTCATCTCATTGATAATAATCATGAGAGGAAACAAAAAAAGTTGTTTTACCTGGAAAAGGAGAATATGTCCTAGAAAACCTTACATTTTTTACATTTTTACATCTTCATCTTTGCAGTGAGAACATAAGCTATCATCCACCAAATGAATCCACCATTGGCCATTATCTGGTCTATTAAAATGTATTGATTCTGTTTAAAAAACATGGTTCTAAAATATGTTATAAAAACCCATGTTACTTTTAAGGTTAAAAAAATCAGTGAACTTGGTGTGGTGGTGCATGCTTATAGTGTCTTCACTTGGGAGGTGGAAAGATCTGGAGATCAAGGTCATCCTCAGGTAGTCAGTCTGTTTGAGGCTCCCCAAGGCTAAAAAAGGCACAACTTCAAACCAAAACCAAAACAAACAAAAGACTACATATAATGAGTGGCCTTAAGAACACCTTCAATGAGTTCATTATATAAGATTTGTCTATGGGGTCTTAGTTAGGGTTTCTATTGCTTTAATGAAACACAATGACCAAAAAGCAACTTGGGGAAGAAAGGGTTTATTTGACTTACACTTCCATATCCCTGTTCATCACCATAGGAAGTCAGGACAGGAACTCAAACAGGGCAGGAACCTGGAAGCAGGAGCTGATGCAGAGGCCATGGAGGGGTGCTGCTTACTGGTTCTTCACATGCCTCCTTTTTAGGAGGAGGCTGCTTGTTCATCCCGGATGCTTAGCCCTGAAATAATCACACAGAAACTCTATCTATTAATCACTGCTTGGTCCATTAGCTCTAACTTCTTATTGGCTAACTTTTATATCTTAGTTTAACCCATTTCCAATAATTTGTATATCACCACGAGGTCATGGCCTACCAGCAAAATTTCAGCACGTCTGTCTCCGGTTGCTCAATGGATTCTCTCTCCACCCTTCTTTCTCCCAAGATTCAGTCCAGTCCTCTCCACCTACATACGTTCTGCCCTATCAACAGGCCAAAGCATTTTCTTTATTCATTAATGGCAATCACAGCACACAGAGGGACTCCCACATCACTCCCTCAGAATCTTTCTTATATAGAAGCCAGGATCGACAGCCCAGTGTAGTAGCCACACCCACAGTTGCTGGGTACTCTGCATTGAATATTAATTTGAAAATGCCTTACAATTGGATCTAATGGAGGCATTTTCTCAATTAAGATTTCTTTGCTGATGACCCTAGTTTGTGTCAACTTTCCATAAAACCAGGTGGATACTTCTCTGTAGTGATGTAATAGCTCAGTCTTGATTGGAGGCTTTGGCTAAATCTGCACTATAAAGAAAGGATTCTGGTGAAATGAAATGGCTTGTGACATTTCAGGGGGACTCTGAATCTTAAAAGTCATTTAAACTCTGTGCTAACCCAGTGGTTTAGAATTTGGCAAGAGGCTTTCTTGAGGAACACTGCAGAGACACAGATGTTGGGGCCCTGTCTTTTACATCAGTATCTGTAGAACCTGCCTCATGGGATACTTGTCCACTCCTCACTTTGTTAGTTTCTAAGATCCTTTGCAGGCCTAGAGATTGTAGAATATGATTTAGTAGCTGCTACATCTATATCTTCTCAGATCTTTATTTCCCTAGGGTTTCTATAATTTATATTCTAAACTTTTTTATTCAGTCTTTTTCCATAAGAGGATAGTACTCATCAGCAATATTGGTGTTTAAAAATATCATAAAAATGATGCACAATGTAACAAAAGGTCCAGTTTGGCTTTTGGTGCAGACTTGTTGTGCCCCTAGCTCTTCCTGATGCCCATTTCAGTGTTCCTTCTATCCCATCTGCATTCCTTTCTGACTCTGCTGATCCACAGACTCTCTGTCAGGGAGCTGCAGTTGCCACCCTAGGCTAGTACTCAGGTGGGGGACAGTCATCCTCCTTCCTGTCCTCCATTTTCGTCTCTCTAGACTTACACTCAGTCCTGCTGCAGCCTGTCCTCAGGAGTCACCACACACACACTGTAAGTGTCCATCTGCTAGGTACTTGGGCTTTTGGTAATGATCCAGATAACTCTTATCTCTTTCCTTCCATCCTAGACTATTTCCTTTCAGCCAAGCTCTTCTGTTCCACTGTGAGTATCTGTTGACTTTCAGAACAGCTCTATACAAGGGACCTCACAATTCTCACAATAGTCTGGAACTACAGAGCTGCCACACATGGCTAGGATCAGAGTTGGACACAGCAACCAAAAAGATAGAACACCCACCAAACAAAGCCAAGACCAGATATGTATAGCAGAAAACACTTCAAATATTATAACCCCAGATTTTTTTTTCTGTTTTTTTTTCGAGACAGGGTTTCTCTGTGGTTTTTATATTCAAGTGCAGAAAATACAAATCTGACCAACCAAGACAGCATGCCTCCTCCAGAATGCAGCAACCCCATCAAAACCCTGAAAACTGTTCTCCCACAAGATCCAGCTAGAGAACTCTTGGATATAGATCCAAAGGACTCTACATTTATTATAGAATAAATAATATTGTTTATTATTACAAATAGTGTTCTCATCTGTATTCACTGCTGCTCTGTTCATTATAGCCAGAAATTAGAAACAACTTTGATGTCCATCAACTGACAAATGGATACTGAAAATGTGGCACATTTACAGGATGGAACACTATTTGGCTGTTTAGAAAAAATGAACTATGGAATTTTCAAGTAAAACAATTAATCTACAAACACTTTTTCTGAGTGTGGTAACCCAGACCCCCAAAAGTATAATATTGTTTTATATGTGATGTTGGTTTTTTAATTTTTAGACATGTGTGCTTCAATCTGAATAACCACAGAGGGTAGGCAGCTAATAAGGGACCATGTAGGACCAAATTGTTTAATATTCTAACATGAAGTCTTAGTCTTTAAGCTATATAGGTATTGAAAATTATAGATCAATAATCATCCATGTTTGTAATACTTAGACTAATTGGGTTCTTTAGAAACACAGATATTGTATTCTACATAGATATGTAATAACCAAAAACTTCAAAAAACTGTGAAATATTGTAACATGAGGGCCTGCTTGTTGGGGTTTCTGTCCCGCCAGGTACCCCACAACTGGCAAGTCCCAAAGAAAATCCACAGAAGTCTTCATAAGTTATAAACTGATTGGCCCATTAGCTCAGGCTTCATATCAGCTCTTATAACCTATAGTATATGTTAGCCACATGGCTCAGTACCTTTTTCTCCGGGTAAGGTCACATCCTGCTTCTTCAGTGTCTGGGAAGGAGTGGGGAAAGAACTTCTTTCTTTCCAGAATACTCCTGTTCTCATTTCCCTGCCTCTACTTCCTGTCTGGTTGCCCTGTTTATACTTCCTGCCTGGCTACTGACCAATCAGCATTTATTTAAAACATAATTGACAGAATACAATTTTTCCATACCAAAATATGACATTTAAATAACTTACAGCTCTGTTGACATGAGACACAATTGCTTCTGGCAGCACCAATCTATTACTGAGAGAATGTTGAGCACCAAAGAAACTCCCCTTGGAGTTTGTTTACTTCTTGGCAAAACTGGCCTTTGGGCAAGGAACTGCCCATGCATCAACCAGTGACAAAATACTTGGTGTCTGGACAGGACAAACAGGATACAGAAAAAAAGACTGCCAAACCTTACCAAGACAGGGTAAGAGGGTCATGAAAACTTTCCTGTCTCTAAAAATCATCTGTCAGTTACTCTAGTCCTCCTTAGTAAAAGTTGTTTTATCCAATGCTGCAAATGAGACTTTGGGTGATTGTCCAGATAGCCAGTTGTCTCTGTCATTTGCTATACATTTTAAAAGCTGCTTGATTGTTATTCCTGCCTACTCAAGTAATGATGGAGGAAGGTCATTGGCTAATAAAGGAACTGCCCTGGCCCATTTTATTGGTTAGGACATAGGTAGGTGGAGTAAACAGATCAAAATGCTGGGAGGAAGAGGAAGTGAGGTCAGAGTCTCGACAGCTCTGCTCTTGGGAGCAGACGCCTGAGAGAGACGCCATGCCCTGCTCCTGGCTCCTGGGCAGACGCACGCTATGAAGCTCCGACCCAGGATGGACTAGGCTAGAATCTCCCCGGTAAGCGCACCTTGGGGTGCTACACACAGATGATTAGAAATGGGCTAAATTAATATGTGAGAATTAGCCTAGAAGAGAATGGGCCAAGCAGTGATTAAAAGGATACAATGTCCGTGTAATTATTTTGGGTAAAGCTAGCCGTGGGGGCGGCCGGGTGCCGGGGATGCAGCCCCGCCGCCCCTATTACTTCATATGGCGCCCACGTGGACAACTGCTTCCACATAAAGCCTGAGACAGCTTGGGAAGTAATTCTAGAACAAAATGAAACATTGTGCCTGGTTTCTTGGTAGCAGCAATTTCTCGGTTCAATTCTGCTTGCTAGAGGCAAGCAAGCGCCTCATCTAAGAGAAGCTTCCTGACTCAGCTTTAGCTGCAAAGCCTGCAGCTCATTAAGAGGTCCTGCCACGAAACACTTAAACGGTGTTGACAAAAAGCTGAACACATGCTTTTCGGTTTTCAGCCGTAGCAGGAAAAAAGCTGCGCCGTTTAAAAATGCCAGCCTTCTGGGCTGTCCTGCCAGGGCAAACTCTGACTCTTTTACGCAGGCGGTTCGTGTGGTTTGCAAGCACAGGCTGCTGAAGCTCGCTTGCTGGCAGGGACCTTGAAATGCCATAGAGTTATAGCAGTAAACATGGCTACAGCCAATACCTCAGTCATGAGGCTGGAAAGCTAAGGAATGGGCTGGATCCAGCCGACAAAGCCACG